ATGCAAAAAATATATAACTTTAACCTACCGAACTGGAAACTTATTCTTCTAAAACCCAAAGATTTTTGAGTTCAAGAGTTTTTAAAGTTAAAAATTATTTTTAAATGCTGGAGCTGCATTGGAGCCGAGCAGTAGCTCAGATATGTGTTCTACTTACTTATTAATTAGTCTATTATTCCTTCCTAATAACTTAAGTATATATTTTATAAAGGACGAATAATATTTTTTTATTCGTCCTATTAAAGTAACATAACAACAACAAGAACAATAGACACTACGTTCAATTATTTACATTCAATAATGCGTTTTAATAACTATTATCATATTCTGTGAGTCACCATAGAAATTTAAATCAATAGTATCACTGTTAACGTATTACAATATTTGTAATTATTTAGTAAATTAAAAAATTGTTGATAATTAATTATTTAAAAAAATATTATTTAACTGTTCTTGTCTATCAAAGTGAATATGGTGGCTTGGGCGATCCTGACTATACTTACAGACAGCAGACGTTGTATTATATTGTGGGTAGGTGCAGTCTGTAACAACTATGTAATGCCTTTGAGAAGTCTAAAAGCTCTCCCGAGAACATGATTGCTGTAAAGCATTCGAAACGCCAGGAATCAAAAATCAAAATAAATTCGAAAAGATAGTTTTATTTAGAAGTGCACCAACTCTACGTTACATCTCCAAATCCAGCGGTATACTTTACCCCGATTCTTCAGTTATTCTGAACTTTTACGATATAAAAACGTTCGTTTTTTAGTAAATTATTATTAATATAATAATCCCGTATTTGATCGCTAGAAGCTATCAAGTCGCACGTCTCACGCACAGACCCCGGGCGAGCCGCTACGCGCAACGCTGGCACCCCTATATTATGAGTATTATAAAAATTTATTCCGCAATAAGCCCCTTATCGCCAACACGATCTTTAATACACACTTTTTATCGCCCTTTCTACATTTTGCTGCTGCATTGCGAATTAAACTACTTGACTGCCGCTTCAGACATCGCAAGACAACCATGTGACCTACATACTCGTAGTAAATATTTTGCAGATATAAATCTCCACGATTATCAATATAAATAAAAATGAATGTTCGTATTTTTGTCCTCTATGCGTTCCTACATAAAGCATTGATCAGATTATGGTGAAACCATGCTGGATTATTCTGTGTATACAATATACATATACTCGTATACCTGCAAAGGTACGTGGCGCAAAAAAAATTTGGACGTTTGTCTTTTACAAGTACCTAACCATTCAAGCTTAAGGAGGCAGGATGTTTGAACATTTTTTATAAATAAAAAAATTAAAGCATATGGCGATATCAGTGCTTGGCTAAAAGTTAGTATTAGCTGTAGTGAGCTTGTATTATGTTAGAGCAATTCTATAGTGGTGTATAAGCCTATAAGGCCTAACACTTCTAACAGCCGATATTACTAAAAAAATCTTTTAAATTTTACAATACTCTTTATATTTTCTATTTTCATCTTCAAGTCAACTAAAAAAGCTAACTTAGCTAATCTCACATATTGTATCGGGTACAAGCTCCATTCAATAACAGCTTTACATCTGAATTGTTATCAAAACACGAACACGACACGACGCGAGGCGACGCGACAGTATAAACGCATCGCAAGCCTGAACGATGTACTCGCGCGGCTCGCGCCATGAATATTCATATATTTTTTATTGCACTCCCTTTATTTGTGTCGGAAACACACGTTCAAATAGATGGCGAATTGTCGCTCGCTTTGGAATTGCCATATAAAAATGCAAACACTGAAATGTATTTTGAATTGCAGACAAAAGGTCGAGAATAATTTAATGGAAAGAAGATAAAAATGTAAAAGAAGGTAGAGATACGGGAATATAAAAGGATTTAAGAAGATCACAACAGTAGCTTTTTTTAATTTGTGTTCGGATACCCTAAAAATTTAACCGTTCATGTGCTTTAAGTGATATAATCAACCAATTAGCTAAGGTATGTAGATTAAGTTACATATCATGAGTGTTATTCAACTAACAAGACTTCTGTTCTGTATTTTTCATACAAATATCGCCATAAATTTTGAAGAAAACATTCACAACATTGAAAAGTCTATACTAAGCATAAAATAATATTCATCTTAGTTAGGATCCTATCAAAATATGACATAGTGAGCTACTATTACTTACTCGTTTTTCATAATCCTTTTGAATGGAAAGTTTTAATATCTCTTCTGTAATCAGTGTACCTTTTTACAAAAAAAAATAATAATAAAATACAATGTACTGTGTAAATAAAATACTCCATTTCTAAGTTTTTCATTAGGGCCAAGAAATTTGGTGAAAGTAACAAGATACTGAAACCCGCGACACGTTTCCGCGTGGTGGATAAGAAGCCCCGGTACTAGTTTGTGTCAAATGCTTTTAATGTAGAGTCTACAATATTAGAGGATGATTGATCCAAGTAACTTTACTGCATACTAGCGACTCACCCTCGCTTATCTCGGGTTCGTCATCTTTCATCCCCATTTTCACCCCCTTAAGGAATGATTTCCGGAACTATTCTATGTGCTTCCCAGGGTTTCAAACTATCTTCTTACCAAATTTCATCTAAATTGGTCCTGTAGTTTTGAGTTTATTCATTACAAAAATACAAATCTTTGCTCTTTATAATAGTAGTGTAGATTCTAATTAATTCTAAGCTAAAAAGTAGCATAAGTTTTGTACTGACCCGTTGCTTTGTGACTTCTATCTCACAAACAGAAAAGACATTGCTGGCGTTAGTCACATGCCCATTTTTTGTTCTAAGTACATATACAAATAAAATAGAGTCCACAAGTGACACTTTTTCTAGATATTTGCAATTTATTGCTTAAATGTACTCTATCTATATATTTGAGCTTCAATATTCTTGGAAAAAAGTCAAAGACGATTTGTCAACAAAGATTCTGTCCCATTTAACTAGCACTACTTAAAGAGAAGAAAAATAAAAGAGTTTTTTTTTCAACATTGCCGGTTCTACAACAGCACAATATAAACAATCGACCAATCAGCGCGCAGAGATCCTTGTGACAACCAATCAGATTTACAGAGAGCGTGGGAGAAGTTGTTAGGTCACGCCCACCGCTTACTAGAAAGTCGACTTCGTCACGCACTATATGGAAATATATGAGAAATGGGAAAGGGTATAGATAGAGAGTTGAGCAGATTGTGGGGAGAGAGATGTCTCACTTACTATATGATTCAATAAGCTCACTGTGTGATAGGTTCCAGAGCTATATATTATGATCTGGTGCTTTTTCAAAATTGAATAATATGATTTTTTGTTTTGACAAAAAAACTCTAGCTGCCTCACTACTTACTACTTTTATATATAAAAATTGAAGACCCTACATATTTACATCTTTTTTAATTTACACCTCACTATACTACAAGTATAAATAATTAAAAAGATAATATAAATTACATTTGTTATGTCTGTGTATAAAAATAAAATATTTTTGTGGTATTTATTTTTGTTCAGTTTAAGAATTATATAATGTTATAGGTATGCTTATTAAATAAAATATATGCTTCAAACATAACTAAACTATCGATCACACGTCTAACTTTGGTTGTAATACATCAAAACAAAAAAAAACATTTTTTAAAGATAATTATTTTATAAAAAATCATTTAACTGGTTAAAAATATTACAAGTCCGACGAAATAAAGCCCTGGAAATAATTACAATACAACTAAATAAAATACAAGTTTAAAGGTTATAATATAAGAGACAGTTGTCATGCAGAAATAGGATATCATGGATGGATCTGAGCTATTATTATACGTAGTAAGGGTTGTTAAACTCTTACTACGTACAATATTAGTAGAAGAGTCTGAGAAAACGCGTGTTTTCGAGTTTTCATGCAGTTTTCTTTATTTATAAGCATTATAAGCATCGTGTTCAAGCGGCCAAGGTGCAAATCAACAATCACAGGTATCCAGGTTCAAATATCGGTCGCACACAAAGTTTTTACTTTTTTTTAAATATTTATTCAAGTTTTTAGTTTTTTTTTTTAAAAAAGACGCAAGATTGACAATCATAGGTGTCCCGGTTCGAATCCCGGTCGGATACAAAGGTATCATTTATTTTTGTGTTTTTTTGTATTTATTCAAGTTTATAGTTTTTTTAAAGAAAATTGTACTTTTTAACCAAAAACCAGGAGCGAACCTCGGTGGTCCAGGTACTAATAAGTTAAAAGTTACCACAATCTGTTCTTTTTTTGCCAAGATAAATTATGGAAATAATGACAATGGAAAAAATGCTTCAACCCTGAAAAATGAACATAGAAACATAGCAAACTCTTGCACTGTTCTGTTCAATATTGCGCTTGTTTGTCCACTGATAAAGAATTCTAAAGAATAATCTATCTACAAAAATCATATACATCTTATTCTTAGGCTAGCCTTATTCGAAACATAAATTCGTAAATAGTTCATATAAAGTGGACAGTACACCATGGACATTCGGTGAATGACACGATGGTGGCACGATGACAATTTATGTGCATTGATTTCATCCGTACGCTGAATTTTAATAGCATTACCATACAGATACTCTACCCAACTACGCCCTCTGCCTACCGCGCGTAAGATCCCTTTAAACCTCGTTATAATTATACTGTTATGTATATCAAATATGCTAAACCATGGAATATTTGTAGGCTTTACTCGCTTGTGTATTAATTAAATAATTGGCATAAAATGAATCATGTTGTATGAATATCAAATGTGTTCGAGTGAGATTCTGTTATTGAAAATTATGTCACGTGTATAAATTAGGCCTATGACTGTTTTGTATCTCTTTATGCTGTAAAGCTCTATTATCAAATAATAAATGTTTTGATTCTTATAAATTTTATATTTTCAATAAAAAGATACCGACTTCAAAATCGATTAATAGTTAAAAAATATTTTAATGAAAATGTAAAATATTTGTCGAGCTAACGAATGTTACTCACGTGCAATCTGCGAGGATTTCCTCGACACGATCTTTCACGTCGCTAGGAATGCCTGGCGACGACATCAGCTCGGGGCACGCCGCCAACGCACGCACCTACAATACAAAATTATTTTCAAATACCCTGGTTTTCAATGATATTTATAATATACTAGCAACTTACCCTTAGAATGCTTAACTAGTTCTCAAACAATAGCCTATATGTCTATATGATATTTCATCCAAATCCAGCCAGCCGTTCGCGAAAACGTTCAGCTGTTCCAACATGATGAAGAAACAAATATATACAAACACACAAAAATTTTCATTTATAATAAATACTCTCAGTGAGTACAATTGAGGAAAAACATGTAAGTAATACTCGTATAATTTATGTTTTTCATGATACTAGTGAAAGAAAATTTTACTTAATATAGTATATCCGATAATATAACGCGAACGAAAACGGTACAATCTCAGCGATGATGTCTTTATATTGTTTTAATTTTCTCACGTAGTTCGCGAACTGCCATCTTACATAAAAAAACGTCAGATCTGTTCGCTAGTTTTCGAAATTGAATCATTTTCTTATAAATTGATAATGATTATGGCTTAAGAATTTATTTCTCAAAAAAAGAAAGAAGAAGAAGAAGAATTTATTTTAAGTATTTGAGAAAACAAGATAACGTTTTTATAGTAAATATCATAATTACTTTATTTTAGTAAATAACATACGAGACATAAATCTATGGGACATTCAGTATTACATTAACTATACACTCTACTGTAACACTATTTTAGTAATTACTTGTAATGAAAATTATATAATTTATGATCTATAAAAACATTAATAATTTTCTCAGTACAATAAAAGGAAAGTAAACAATTAAAAGAAAAATACAAACAGGAAACAATGGCAGGCAAAGATGGCACTCCATTAGTAGCGATGTTTTCAGTGTAAGATTATTATAAGTTTTTATTATTTTTTTCTGCAAAAATGAATAACGTTTTCAATACTTTATAGATACACTTAATATATGGTACATATTTTGGCCAATTCACAATTTATCCAAAACAAAAATCTAATCCGCTATCACCGGTAATGCCAACTAGAAGTAGCATTTATAAAAAAAAACATTAATATTATTTATGCGAAAGTTTGTTTTATGATATGTATTTTCTTAATTGTTTATTTTTTTTCACGTTTTATGTGGAAAAACCAAACAAATAAAACGTCTTAACTCTAAAATTTGATCATGTAGTAAATTTTTACATGATCAAATTTTAGAAGTCGTTCTAACACAGGTAGCTACTTTCTAAGTATCGTATCGATTTGATACTTTGTAAGTATTTGAAATTGAGGTGACGATAATTTGTTACAGTCCAGCTAATCTGATAATAGAGCCAGGAAATTCTTTGTTTGGTTATTTAAAACTTTATGGAACAACGAGTGCCATGAGCTACTTTTAAAAGTACATACATCCAGCTCAAGCTTTGATTAATCAAAAACATTTTCAAAAATTAAATATTTTTTATAATTTATTCCAATAAAAGATAGCCTTTTAGATTAACTTGTTTCTAAAATATCTTATACATAATAGGATATTCGACCAGATATACGATACCTGTCTGATGAAAGTGATCGGTTTCTGTCCGAGCGCCTGGCAGTCATCGATGTTAGCGCGCACCACACGCTCGAACGAATTCGGTACACCCTGGAAAATATTAAAGATATTTTATATGTATATGATCGTAGAGTTAGAACAATGTTGTTTAAGCACTTAAATATTAAAATAATAAAGTACTATAAAAGGCTTTTATTTATTTAAATCAAATATGATTGTGTATTTTCTAGTGAACGTAGAGATTCACCTCTTTTTATTCAATTACATGTTATTGGGTGACGTAATAATCTTAATAACTTTATCAAAATTGTTTTTAATGATTTTCTAAGTAAAACTTCGAGTTTCAGCAATTCCTCCTTTATTTAATTTTACATTTACAGAATTCCCTACAAAATGACTATCACAACTATTTAAACACTGTCCCATAATTTTTTATTCGTAGCCATGTCCCCACCGTTAGGTGTCCGGTGTAATGTGATGCCATCTATTTTATGCAAATTACACATTACCCCACGGTGGATGACAATACTTGTAAAATATAAATATTTAAAATTTTACAAAATCATATCGTATTAATATTGTAAAATTGTACATAATCTATATATACTCGTATAAAAATCAATTGCTGTTCGTTAATCTCGCTAAAACTCAAAAACGGCTGGACCGATTTGAATTTTTTTTGTTTTGTTGGGGGTGTGTCAGGGGTGGCTTAAAAATAAAAAACATAGGGAAAATATGAAAAAGTTTAGAGATGTTTATTTTATATGGGAATCACTAACCACAAAAACGTACCTAGCGAAGAACCCGAGCGAAGCGAGGGTGAGTCGCTAGTAAAATATAAATAATCGACATCAAATTAAATTATATAATATAAAATTATAGCTAACAAAATAATATGAAGAATAATGAATAATAATGAATTAAGGTACTATATATAGTTAAGAAAATCAATTGAGCAACTATAACTAACAAAAAAAAAACAATATATAAATTAGGAAAATTAGATGAAATAACGCAAGTCCACCTCGACCTATTAGACTTTGCTAGCAACTTGTGTAATATTTCGCAGAGGTAATAACGCGGTAATACGAATTACAGGCTATAAACAATCGTAACTGGTCCCGAAAAGCCGCAATAAGCGTAAACCCTCGCCGGCCGCTGATATGAAACATCATAAATTCCCTTTGGAAAATTCGCTAATGTAATTCCCACTCGGCGGTCGGCTGCAGACCGTACCACAGATACCGACATTTTTGTTCTCCTTTTTAAATTATTCGCTATGTACCTATCCAGCGTCTAGCTAAGGCATGGCGTTCGGTTCGGCGCGGCGGGCTATTTAATAATAATAATAATAATAATAATAATAAGTTCTTTATTTCCAAAAGGTAGTAAGTACATCCAGATATTCGCTTAACACTAACTAAATCTAATTTGGTACATACAAATATTTAAAACATAGCATCTGCAGCCGAACTAGGAGACCTGTGCATCAGCTGTCAGCGCCATATCCCCACGGTTAGGTGACATAAATATTACCAAAAAAAATAAAGAATTACATATCAACTAAAGATATTAATTAATATTACTAAATATGTCATTCCTCTCTCTTAAGATGTGTAATGCATGACTGTAAGAAGTATTTGTGTAATGAGTGTAATGTGTGTGAGCAATTAAAGTAGAGGAGTGTGTAATGTGTGTCTGTGTATGTGTGTGTGTGTGTGTGTGTGTGTATGCGCGTGTGTGTGCCTGGGTATTATTATTTTACATAGGCAATATTGCAGGATCAAGTTTTTTCTTTTATTTTTATTTTATTATTTCGGCTTAACGTAGTTAGATTAAAGCTCAGGTGCAGAATAAACTTAATTTAGACAGGAAAATTAGTTCACCACCGAAGTTAATATTTACGGCAGTAATGAAACGAAATAATATACTTATTTTAACCGACTTCGCACAAGAGTAGCTACTATTTCTATGAATCAAACTAGACACACTTCTTTCATATTATGGCTAGACACCCAAAGAGTTCCTACAATATTTCGTAGTTACAGAAAATTGCAAAATAATAATAATAGTCCAACTATAACACAATCAAAGCGTATTTTCACTTTTGAGAGTGGAGATTTAGCTACCAAACGGACAGAAATCGCGTTGACATTTTTATTTCCTTTATTGCCGGCCGCCGCAATCCTGACTGTTTAGTGACCATACATTACGACGCTTCAGTCATTACGCCAGTTAAAATGGCCCATCGGAGAAAGAGGATTTAGACAAACACCAAAAAACCTATCTAGGAAAACAAATGGGTAAGCGTAAGTAAGATAAAGTGCCGTAGCTTTAGCAATCACAAAGTTGTGATGATTTTTTGTCATATTATGAATGGGATTTTCAGGCGTAATGACAACAGTTTCTGAACTGTAATATCAAAAAAGGTATTATTGAAATTATTCGAGTGATTGAAAGATCCAAAGTAAAGATTCTCGTATTGGAAATTAAAAAAATGTAAAAAAGATATCCACACACTGAAATAAAGTCTTTATATACATACTTAAAAGTCGTATATACTTAAAATTATATTTTAAATCTAGATATATAGGTACCTTTTTTTTTTGGAAGACAGAAAATAAAATTACAATGTCCCTAAGGATGGTTTTGTCAAAATAAAGAAATTCATTTAAATTTTAAAGAAGCAGAAAACATAATAGTTTCATTCTAAATACATATAGGTATAAAAATCCATGTAAATGAAATCGGTGGTGAAAGAGGATACGTTCTCAAGGCGGGCTGGGGCGGGCGGTGGCGGGCGGGAGCTGGCGCGCGTCCAGCGCTCGCTCGATAGGTGCAGGATATATGTTATCTTCATATTGCTAAATTACATATTTCAATAACACGTATTACTTTGTTGTAGTGATGCAGGTATCCCACGCGGTGAAGGAAGTAAGTTCATAAGTCTCAATTAAACACAAAATAAAAACTTTTTAACAAAAAAATAAAAACCGACTTCAAACAAAAGCACTAAAAAGTAAAAAATAACTGATTGGTAGTTTTCATTTACTATACATACCTAATCAAATATTTTCGAAGTCGGTGTACTTTGCTTTGTACTTTGGCCTCCCTTCAATACGAGGGGGATCAGGCCATAGTCCACCACGCTGGCCAAGTGCAGGTTGGCGGACTTCACATGTCTTTTAAAACTTGCAGACAGCAAACTCTCAGACATGCAGGTTTCCTCACGATGTTTTCCTTCACCGTTAAGACAAGTGGTAATCATGTTGGAAATGATTCGCACATGAAAATACCAGAGGTGCGAGACCCGGGATTTAAACTCGCTTCACTCGGTTTCCCAAGCGAGCGCGTTACCACCGGGCTACCACTGCCATTACCATTATACATAACTAAAATTAATGTTTAAAGAAAAACTCTACTCATTATAACTAAGCTGAAAGAAAAAAAAATCATTTTCATTAATTAAGGGCCAGAGCTGAATAACAACAACAATACAGGCAGTAGTCACCGTTCGTACACAATTATTGCGACTTTAGTTTCAAGATTTTTCTATACAATGCATTCGTTATAAAGTAAATGGAAGCGTCTGTTTCTAATTTTGATAATATATATACATGTAATTGTAAGGTATAGAGATTTTTTTAAATATATATTTATACTAGTGGCTCACACTCGCTTCGCTCGGTTTGGTCCCTAGGTACGTTATAACGGTTAATATATTTTTATTATAGTCACATTGCGAAGACGTGCAAAACTAATAGGTAAAATTATTTAGTGCAACAATAAAACATTCTTCTTTACAAGAGTATCAAATACTTGTTATCATCCACACGTCACATGGCAAGTCGATAAAAAATCGATGTGTTAAAAAAAAGGATAGACAGATAGGGATAGGATAGATAGAAAGAGATAACAGACATATATAGACATACACGCTCGCCAATTTTCGCATTTATAATAATAATGGGATAAAAAGAGCGCTATGAACATGAGCTTTAGTCATGTATAAATAAAGTAGCAACAATAATTGCGATTTTCCACCATGCTTTACCACTTGCCTTGGGAAATAAAATACAAAAACAAGGCAACAATAGCGCGCCTGTCGAGTTCACAATGTTGTTGTTACACGACAGACGAACGCCGAGATAAATCTTTGTTATTGCGAACTCACTTCACAATAGTTCTGTAGAGCCTGGACCGCGCTCCTTGCACGAGACGAGGGAAATAAAACCATCAATTTATGGAAAAATACTTTTTGTGGAACACAATGGTGAACATATGCTCTGCCTTGATTTATATATTGGCATTCGTCTGACTTCGTATCACACCTTTTGCAGCTAATTGAATTATAAATGAACTAGCGCCCCTACATGGCCTACATCTATACATATAATACAATTCTAACTTAGCCGAACCTGTAAATGAAATATTTTTTGGAGACTAATCTATAGTTTTTAGAATTTTTGTCTATCTGTCTGTGACCGCATCGCGAAAAAACACTCGATGGATTTTAATGAAATTTGGTAAGGTGATAATTGTATTTTAATTGTTTTATAATCCGTGAATCCGTAAATGTGAGGCTATCCGGGTCTCTATATAATATACTTTTTACTGCGGGAAAATATCTCATCTCTGAGCTAAACGTTAAGACGTAACTAGGAACCAACTCGAGCGGAGCGAGAGTGAGTCGCTTGTCTTTTAAGTGTTGAGTGTGAGTCGTAAATAACATAATAATAATATAAATTGAGCTCTCATAAGGGACTTTTTTTCTGGCTTAATACATAAATATTTGTATACAAGTTATCTATTATCGCAATATATCCACAGATTTACTCCATACAATCTTCCTAGATTGAAATGGGAAACCGTATGAAAATCCGTGCAGTAGTTTCTTATACAAGCTCGAACCAACACAAACCTTTTTTTTTTTTATCGTCGGGAAATGCATTTACGCATACCACCTGAACCCCCAGGTGGTGATGTGGGGCCCACCGGCTAGAAGAGCCGGTACTACCCACTAAAACCCGACATCCCTTCCCCCCGCCTTAGTGGGACGCCGCAGGATCGCTTGCGCATAACTACTACGGCGCCCCGGCGGCAGGTCTGCCTAAATACTAGGCAGACCACCAAACCAATGGGGCTGCTCCACAGTCAACTCTGCTACGTCAGAGAGGTACCCGGAGCAGCCCCATAAAACCAAAACACCGCCCACCGAAGTGGGCCACCTCCAATCGGCTGCAGAGGACAGGGAGAGCGGCAACGAAACACCGACACTCCTCTTCCCCTGCAGCCCCACCGCGTCCGCCATCAAACGGTGGCGGCCCCATCTAGGCCGCGGAAGGTAGGGAGAACGGCGCACCGAAATACCGGCACTCCTCTCCCGCCGCGGCCTGCCCCTCCGCCGAATGCGGGCCTGCGACCACAGTCCCGCAACCGGCACCCGTCATCCGGTTGTGGGACCAAGCGGTCCCACCACCGGTGGCCGCAACGTCTTCGGCTCGAGGCCTAGACGAGCGGCCCCATCCAAGCCATTTGGTCCGCGCCGGATTTCTCCGGTACCACCCGCCCCTCTAAGCGGGTGGCATGCCCCTATCCGCCACCTGGGGACGCGCCCGGTAGGAGTTGGCTTCTCCCCCGGGGAACCAACACAAACCTAGCCTGGCATTAAATTATATGTTATGATATATTTTTATCCCCGGACGCAAAATGAGGGGTGTTATAAGTTTGACGTATCTGTCTGGGTGTATCTGTCTGTCTGTCTGTGGCATTATAGCTCTCGAACGGATGAAGTGATTTCAATTTAGTTTTTTTTGTATTGAAGCTGACTTATGTGCGAGTGTTCTTAGACATGTTTGATAAAGTCGGTTGAGCCGTTTAAAAGTTGTGGGGGATGAAAATGGGGAAGAATAACTGAATGTCTACAAATATACTCGAGTGGGGTCTCAAATGAAAGCGCACTGAAAGAGAATATTGATGACATATAGTTGTTACAGACAGCTTACCCATAAATAACAAAATGAATTCAAATAATTGAAATTTGGCACCAAAGTACCTTACAATATATTTTTTTTTTAATTTTAAACATTTTTATAATTTTAATTAATTTTATAATTGAATATGGAATATTATTTATTTAATTTTAGCTGTTATTATTACAATTATTACAATTTTTTAGAAAAAATATTAATTCAAAATATTTCATTACCCGACTACGGCGAAATATAAGGAGGATTATGATTTTGAACTGTCAATATACATACATACGGGTCAAAATCATAATCCTCCTTTTACTTCGCCGTAGTCGGGTAATGAAATATTTTGAAAATATAGACACTTAAATGTCAGTATCGTATCGATTCATTATGAATTGTTAGATGTACTTTCAGTCATACATCTCTGTCGAGTCTCTTAGTGAATTGATCGTCATCAATGTACACTAACATTGTCGTCCTCTAACCAAAATGTGTTTGGGAAGTCACCGCGGCGGCGACACGACGACAGGTCAATGCGGCCTTATCGCGGTACTCACCGCATGCAGCAGACACTCTAGGTACTTTCTCGACTATAAAATAGGTATTTGACGAGTGGATTTATGTGCGATGTCAAATAGAAATAAATATTTTACTCGAGTCAACATTTACGATACCTTTAACTACAGGAAAATCTTTCATTCCCACGGGAAAACACAATAACTGATTCGGTCGAATCGTTCGTCGTGCTATACGAATTAACCTGACATTTAGCTCTTCAGAATACCTACAAAAAACGTCTTACAAAAGTCTATGGCGACGTCGTTTTTATGTTATACTAGCATTGCCCGCGGCTCCGCCCGCGTTCAGATGACCAATAACCAAATTCATAGGTTTTACATATGAGTATACCCTTACATTCCAGTTTTTGTATTTTTTCTCAGGATTGAGATATTTTCCCGCGGTAAAAAGTATCCTATATGTTGAACCGGATAACCAGCTATCACCATACCAAATTTCATCAAAAACACTCCAGTGGTTTTTCTGTGATTCGGTAACAGACAGACAGACAAAAATTCTAAAAACCATATATTCGGCTTCTGTATCAAAAATAATGTTTATTTCTATAAGTTTTTCCAAAAAATATTTAATGTACAGATTCGGCTTAGTTACAATTTTATTATATGTATAAGATATACGTAATGATTCTATTTAATACAACAGACAATGAACTAGAAAATTGTAGGTCTTAAAAAGGCCTACAGAAATGTCCGGAATGTACGGAACAGCACTTTATGTCTATCTCCCAAGGTGATTTCTCCTAGCCGATTCCGGCCACGGCGGCCAATCTTATTGAGACTAGCCAACTGCGCAGGAGATATTATAGTGGACAAGTGTACGCGCAGACACAAGTTCACTCTCTGTTCCTGTCACTCTCATACTCCGGTGGCACGACTGCTCGACACGACCAGTGAGAGTTAAGGCGCAGGACCGACGGCTTTACGTGCTCTCCGAGGCACGGGGGTGAACCACCGCCAACTTCCCAACTCCGGGCTGTTACTGAGACTTACTATACAGAAGACTCAATAACTAAACTTGGCCCGACTCAGGACTCGAACCCAGGACCTCCGAGTGTGCAGCCGTACATGCTAGCAATTACACCACCGAGGCAGTTGTACATCTCCCAAGGTACACTCGCAATAACTATTTATCTTGTAGGATATCTCAGAAAAAGCCATCATGTTTCAAAACTTATATATTTTAACAAGATTTAGTTACAATTTATTCTCAACAATTTCTTTTTTTTTTCTCCAGTTAAAAATCACGGATCACGCCCTCCCTGCCAACTCCCCGCCGACCAATTCCATCCTTTGTTTATTGCTTCTTTCTATATTTAATTGTATTTTTATTATTATTTTTCGGCCTGACCAATCACGTCATTTTATATTTCCTGATTTATTTACAAAGGTATCATAATATGTGCGTTCGCGTCGTCAGTGTGGCCAGTATAATAAATTAATAACTGTTTTATTATACAAATTAAAATAGCGAAACCTTACGATCACCCTTACATATCCTTCTTTTACGTGTAGATATACTTTTATTAATTGGTGGTCTAAACGCTAGTATGTACAGCTGGCTATCGTGAGGTCTTAGGTTCGAATCTAGGATCTAGCCTAAAGCCTTGTTTCTGACCGGTCATATTAAATTAATTGTTGACCTACCAGAATATGAAAGAGTGCACTTGAAAGAAGTTGAAAATTTTGACTAAAACCCAAGTAGGTACTATAATAGGTAGATATGAAAATATTCATAGTATATTCTCTTTTTTCTCATCTCCTTTTCATCGCATCATATCATTATAATAAAAGAGACTGCGTAGAATAAGATATACGAACTAAAGTTTTTAAGTTTTATGTTAGACAGGAAAATTATATATAGAAAAAAAATCTTATGGAAATTTGGTAGGTACAACCGAGTAGGTTTCGAAACACCCCATTGTATAACAAATCAATTTACCTAAACCTTGCCTTGTTATTCTTAATTGAAAACAAAATATTATAAAGAGTAGGTATACAAATATTATATAGAGAAAAGGTTTTTTGTTTGTTTGTGTACCGTATAAGTTCCGAAACTACTGGACCGATTTAGATGAAACTTGGTAAGAAGATAGTTTAAGACCTTCGAAATCATCCCTTAAGGGGGTGAAAATAGGGATGAAAGTTTGTTTATATGGGAAAGCAACCTAGAGTCGCTAGTATGTTATAAACTAAACCAAATAAAAATAGTTGAATAAATAACTTTGATCTAGTAAAAATAGTTAAAAAAGATTTTATATGAAACACAAGCGATCAATTAAAAACAGAATAGCCTTTGTGGCCGACGATTGGTTTACGTCCGCGCGGTGTTTGCGGCGAAAATTGCGTTCCGATTGATTGTCTCCCCCCGTTCCGTCCCGATGTAATGTTGTTCGAGAAATTGCAACTCAATATAAGAATTTCTACGTTTTCAAAGACGCTATTATTAATCGGTTAGAGGAAAGATTTTATTTTACTTAATCAGAGTTTAAAATTATGACTTACATAATATATTATGACGATAAAAAAGTACTAGATAAACAATCAGCGACAAAAAAATGTCCGCACCGAATGAGCACTCATTTGAAATTTACTGTTGATACAATTTAGAGTTACATAATATATTATGTTCCTCGTTCGACCGTGATGCTAAAACGCCTGGATAGATTTGGATGAAAGTGTACAAAGAGACTTTGTCCCAAAGTAGCACATGCCTGCTACACCTAGGGACGGACCCAAGCGTCAATAAAATGAAAAAAAAATGGAAGTTAACTATAGAAAGGCCTTAAAATAATTTTGCAATTTTATATTTTATCGATAAAATTTTATAATAAATAGGTACTCAAATAACGTTATTTGATACACTCCCTATACAATACAATCCCTATACAATACAGTATACGTAGGTTGCTACACATGAATGGACACGAGTGTAGCAAAACACCTTTACATACAAGGTTATGTACTTTAGCGTATTTGAAAAACTACGCTTATCTAACGCAACACAATATTTCGACATTTATATATAACAAGATTAAATATTTATTACAAAAATTATATATAAACTAGCGACTCACCCTCGCTCCGCTAGAGTTCGTCCCTGCTTACGTTTTAACGTTTAGTACAGATTTCTTAGAGATGAGACATTTTCCTGCAGTAAAATGTATCCTATATGTTGACCCGGATAACCAGCTATCACCATACCAAATTTCATCAAAATCCCTGCAGTGGTTTTTCTGTGATGCGGTAACAGACAGACAAAAATTCTAAAAACTGTAGATTCGGCCTCTCAATCGATAATAATGTCTATTTTAATAAGATTTTCCAAAAAATATTTAATGTACAGATTTGGCTCCGTTACAATTTTATTATATGTATAGATTTGCAGACTATAGTGTCTTGTTATTTTAGTCTGAGGTATATCGTATTATCACATTATCTAAGAATATTCTATTTAACGAATCCTACATATTAGCGACATCTATTAGTTCGCCTGCGAAGTTGTAAATTGTTATAATGAGCATCGAACGATAACTTAAAAGACGGTGTGCTTTATGTATCGGCTGTCACCGACTTCGAAAATATTTGATTAGGTTCTAAAGTAAATGAATTACCAATCAGTTATTTTTTTACTTTTTTAGTGTTTTTTTTGAAGTTGGTTTTTTTATATTGCTTTTCAGTGAAGACATAGTAGTAGAAAAGTAAGAAGAAAGTATTTTAATAAAATATTCGCTAAGTTACTTTGAAACCAATTTTTATATGAAGACTGACAGACTAAAATTCGCTTTTATTAGTAACAATAAAAATGTCAAATCAAACAAAATAAGCCCAAACTAAAAGTATCTACTATTAGTCGTTGAGTTCCACCTATCTGCCTTCTGGCCTTACTATCCGATCAGGTCGACGATACTCAAAAATACAAATCGATTAATAAAATAAGACTCCTTTTTTGAAAGTCGGTTGAAAAGTATATAGATATGTAATAACGTAGGTACTTATCATAATACTTATTGTGATTTTGAAAAATATTCTCGAATAAAGGAAAATTAAATGTTTTTTTTAAATCATTCCGTAATTTTTTATGTGAACAAATATTTTTCTTTTTTAACATTAACTTTTAACTAATTTTTCATTTCCGTCGTATAGTTTTCCGTCTGTCTTATTTACATACTTAATCTAAGGAAATATATTTTCTCATTTTTTTTATCCAGCACTGAGTGCAAGGAAAGTAAAAAACCACAAGTGAAGTAAATAAAACGCATCGATACTTTACATAGTTTATTTCAACAATACTTATAATGGCATAGCTACAACGCTCGACTCGCGACTCGCACCGGGAATGTCAACTCTCCAATACAAATGAAATAACAATTATAAAGAAAATCAATAAAATATTTGCATTCATTTATAAATGCGATACAACGAACGTTGAGAAATTTTTAGTATTTTATACTTCAAAAAACAAATAAATGAACAACTTTATATGAATGGCACGGGCCGAGGACTAGTTAACAAAAGTTTAATCACACAATTAGAAAGGAGTTACAATTTTGACGTTTAAAAACCATAAAAATATAAACATTTGTAAAAAAAAATTTCAACTTAACAAAATTGGATAAAACTCTCACAATATCATATACAAATCTCAGTGACGGTAACAATATAAAGCAAGATTTACTAAATGTGCGTTTTGAAGGCAGCTGGTAACATTTACCAGCACAGTGGTTAGAAGGCACGTTTACGTTCATTTACTACTGTAATGGGTTCAATTTCAGTTGAAACATTCTTAAAATAATTAAATAATCGAATCATTACTTTATCTGTATATAAGCTTGTTAAGAAAAAAAATACAAAAAACGCGCAAGTGTAAATCGAGCCTAAACTATTCTGGTTACAATCAAAAAATCTCACTTGAAATATTTTCATTTTAAAGAAGAAAAATATATTTATTTACATTTAAAATAGCTAAAATAATTGTAAAGTTGCATGAATACTAAAACGAATTACAAAAAGAATATTGTAAGCCTAGATTGTATGGTATGGCTTGTTTTAAATGTACACGACATTTTAGACATACCATTTGGTTTTTGGCTCCTTGATACTATCGTATTATATCGCAGGTTCTTATCCCTCTGAGTACTAATAATAATAATGTATCAAATTAGAGTTTTGGTAAGGTCTAAAAATCTGTTGAAATTAATCGAATCTCAAATAACATTCACATTCGTTTTCATTATTACATTATTTATTATAATATACTTTACGTATCGGCCATAAAACATGATATCTGTCTGTATATCAACTTAATTTCACACAAAAATAAATCTGCTGTCTTCATGTAATTTTAACTTTACATAACCATATTCGATGGCTGACTTGAAACTATGATACAATTTACGAAATAATCAAATACATAGGAATATTAATTATTTATTATAAAAGAAAATCTCATAGTTACTGTATATTTTACTTAAAAATTTTATAAAAACGAGGCCAGATAGGACGCAGTCTAAACATCATCTTCTACAGTATTCTACCATAAGTTACAATATTTTACAAAACAATATACATTATACAAATATCAGTATTAGATTCTGATTTAAAATAACCATATATAATACAATAATTATAATAACAACATTTGACCACATTTATACTATCGGGAATAAGGAAGGAAGGAGTGAAAGGAAAGAAGGAGATTTGAGATGTGGGGAGTGAGGAATTATTTGTGCTATTTAGAGATATTATCGTGAAGTTTTCAATATATGCTATAATATAAGCTCCGAAACTAGTTAACAACATGTTTGTGTCAAGGGTTATGAATAGCTGGCAGTTTGATAGGAAACGTGAGATGTAGGGAGTAATGAGTTATAAGTTGGTAACTAGTTCTGTAATGTCACTAAATCGTATGCTTTAGTTGAGTCGACATTAGACTTTTGAAACGAGAAGTTGGGAATGAGATAGAGGGACACTGGGAGGCTACGAGTGTTACTTTATAGCGGTGTTGTGGCATTTTTGTTATAAGTGACTAATTCATAAGCTTTAGTTAAATTGACACTAGGCATCTGGGAAGGAGTGAGGAGTGGGGAGTTGGGGATATGGAGACCGTCAGTTAGTTAAGTCGACACTAGTCCTCTGTGGCGAGGAGTTTAGGAGTGTTCCTTGGTGAAGTTCTCGTGGAAGGTCTTGAAGATGGAGAGCATCTCGCGCAGCAGCGGCGGCTGCGGCAGGATGGTGGTGCGGAAGTGGAAGGTGCCGGGGCGCTGCCCGAAGCCGCTGCCGGGAACCACGCAGATACCTGCCCGCCATACATACGCACAGTGACAGCATTAGTAGGCTTTTATTTCAAAAATATGCCAGCCCTATATACCTTAATCTAAATAGTTACATAAACCAGATCCTAAGAAAATTGTATACCATCTTGGCCTCTTCAGAAGTAGGAAAAGACAAAATGGTGTTAAAATCACCTATATCGAAACTATTCACATTCAATGCTTTAATCAGGTTTTTCCTAGATTTAATTGTATTAGTTCATTTATTCGCTCATTCATTCATTTATTTACTTATTTTTAAATGATATTCCAAATTATAGAACACAGCGTTATTTAAATTCTTTTTTACATACAAATATTAAAAATAGAAAAAGATGAAAAAAGACACGAATCAATAAACAAGGAAACTACTATTAAACATAATATACAAAAAAAACATAGTTGTAACCTAATCTATTGATGTGTATTATTCTATATTATATATTGTATTATTGTATATTCTATACATATAGATTTTTGAACTTGTATATATGTAATATTAATTGTACCGTCCAAGAGTTTTTTTGGTTGTTCATAAGAGTGCTCATTATAAGACCACCTGTGTATGCCTCTTTTATCATTCTTGTTCATCTTGTGTATTTTTTGTGTGTGCAATGAAGTATCTATCAATCTAAGTATATATTTAGACGTGTATATTACCGGTCTCCTCGAGCAGGCGGAAGGCGTAGTACACGTCCGGCGGCTGCCCCGCGCGCCGCGCCGCCTCCACCGCCTTGGCCGGCAGCGAGATGCTCGGGAACGCGTACATCGCGCCCTGGCGGAAGTACATACACCGGGTATTATTATATGTATTATTATGTTAATTCTGTAATTTAAGACTTTATGTGAAGGGAAGAAGAGTGATAAAGGAGGTGACGAGAGTAAAAAGGCGTAAGCCGTGAAATGGAAAGAGGGACAGTGCGTTGAAGGAAATTGAAGGCGTAGAGCGGAAAAGGGATGCAGGATTTAAGATGGGGTCGATTTAGAGGTGGGAGGTTGGGAGATGGGGAGCAGTTTTGCCAGTAGAGACAGCTGCTGCCAGTAGGGCCGACTTATTTTATACCGCTGGGTTATTGAAATGATACCAAATCAAATTTTATTATACAATTTAACAAAACTGTTGAGAAATAGTCTGTGACGAAAAAAAAATTCAATAAAAATACATAACAACTTAAAATTAAATATACATAAAATAACTATATTTTACCATTTTCGTATTCAATTATACGATCTGGCAGTCCTAATGGGAAGCGGAGGGAATTTCAGGTAAAGAGGGGTACTCCCCTCTTAGAAGAAAGTAGAGGGAGTGAAGAGTGATGTAATTGGGTGTATGTGAGTGTGTGTGTGTGTCACCTGCACGACGTTGCACTTGAACCCCTCCATGGTGTTGAAGGTGTCGACGATGAGTTCGGCGCGCTCGGCCAGCGAGCGCAGCACGCCCGCCTTCTCGCGCGCCCACAGCTCGTGCGAGGGCTCACCCGGCGCCGGCGGCTTGGCCTGCAAGTACCACGAGTAAATACACATTATTAATCTTAATATATATACGGTACGTTTTAACCGTAAATAGAAATCTTTGAATTTCTCGGTTATTCTGTACTATAATATGCATGTATTATACATATAAACCTTCCTCTTGAATCACTCTATCTATTAAAAAAACCGCATTAAATGTTGCATAGTTCTAAAGATTTTAAAGATTATGACTAAAAAATAGTTTTCACTGTAACATATATATATATGTACGTTTAATTAAAAATTTAACTTATTGACCTCATTTAATCACATCGTAGACATAGTGTTCACATCACATTACTAATTATCAGAGGTCAAAGATCAAAAAATCCAATTGTTTGTAAATTTTAACTATTTCTCTTTATTTCCTTTGTTCACAAAATACTTCCTTGAATTTACGTGAATGTTTGACATTTTAAATAAAATTATTTTGCCGGTTTTTTTGCAGATTTATTTTGATTTTTGCTTCCCCAACCAAACCATCAACCACCAAACCAGTAAATAAATAGTTTTATTTAAAATTCCTTTGTTCATATTTGAAATGAGATTTAAAATCATTACAAAAGTATATTATTCTCTACAAATGTGATCTTACGCAATACTTTATAGAATTTACTATTATTGATATGTGAATATATGTGTGTGTACGAATTTATATTTAGTTTGGAACAATATATACGTGTAATATAAAGGTGATTTTTTTATTATCTTCTTTGCTTGTGAATTAAGCCCATGTCGATATTTTTTTAAATAATTTCTTTTTGATTATGAAAATAATTATTGAAAAGTGCAAATATAGGTGGGAAATTCAAAGTAGTTGAAACGCAACGCCATTGGTCAGACCGAATGTGACGTCAAAGTCTATCATAACAGAGCGTTGTTATTTAGTATTTGCGATTGGTACTACCAATCTACTCTGCAGTTGAATCTATTGTTATACATGTATAAATGGATTTCGAGCTCGAGTATTTTCTTGAATTTTGACACGCATAAGTTTAATATATTAAAAAAAACACACATAAATTTTAATATATAATATAATATATACTGCACTACGGGCTATCCTTCGTAGCATTTTTATAGTGAGGCATCAATCCTTACACGTAGGTCTTCGAAAAAATGATTTAGCGAAAACTTAATTTCTGCCACATCTAGTGATTGTTAGGGCAAGAAAAATACATTGTAATATAAGATTAATGATTAACCTAGCTATATTTTTAGGAGTTATATGTGTGTGTGTGTGTGGGTGTATGTACGTATACCGACCACGCAGTCGACGGCGGCCTGCCCCAGCACGGAGGGGCACAGCATGGCGGAGATGCACTTGTAGAGGTGCGCCTGCACGTCGGGCTGCAGGTGCAGCAGCTCCATCCAGCCGCCGCGCAGCCCGCACTCGCCCATGTAGCCCTTGCTCACCGTCATGAACGACGCCAGCTCCAGCTCCTGGTACGTCGGGCCCATCTCCGTCAACACCTGGAACGCCACGCCAACATAGACACCTCACTTTACGAATACTTTCTTGGGTTTCGAATGCTTTCGATCATGGTCACGGGAGAGACTAAGGTATTAGACGTCTCAAAGGCGTTATATACTTGTTGTTAAAACGTCGGGAACTAAAAATCTAAATAACTCCGCGAAATAATCCGAAAAGATAGTTTTATTTATTTATTTATTTATTTTTTAATTAATTTTTGGGAAACAAACATTGACATAATTCTTAAAAATAATTAGAATCTAAAAAATCCATAAACCAGCAAATTTCATCAATCATCAAAAACAGCAGCATACACATCGAGCAACATACTGCGTACGTGTTTACTGTTGAAGCTCATCGAAGCGAAGCCTGCACAAAGTGCACACGGATCTCTTACAACATACATACACTCCTCGACACTTATGCTCGCCTGGTACTTTTGTCGCGACTGACTGACTAGAGGAGTACGGACCTCGAGGAGTAAGTACATCATATACGAAGGGCCCCATCACAAGAGTACAAACGAACTACTTAACACTTATGCTCGCCTGGTGCTTGTGATGACGTCACATATTCACTGAGACGAGCCAGCTGCAGGAGATTTTATTATCTTTATTATTATTATATCATTATAAATTTTTATATTATATCAATATAAAAAATTCAGAATTAAAATTTTACAATTTTTCCCTGAACGTCAAGTCTGTTCACCAATTCGTAAAAAAGTCTCAGCCAAGAAGAGCAGGTGATAGAAACTCAGTGGGACTTAAACTTAATTTATTTTGCAATTAAATTATAAACTACAATAATTCTACAAACTCGAAGTAGCTTGGTCTTCATAACAACATTCTCAAGGCGTGCCATCCATACTATTATGAATGCGAAAGTAAATCTGTCTGTCTGTTACTCTTTTATGCTTAATCCGCTAAGCCGAATTAGATAAAATTTAATATAGACATAATTAGAGACCCTGAGAAGAACATAGGATAGTTTTAATCCGGAAATCATCCCTTAAGGGTGTAAAATTGGGGGTAGAAATTTGTATAGGAAATACATCAAGTAAGAAATATATAAAACTCATATTACCAATGCCGCATGAACGAACCGAGTCGCTAGTGTTCTATAAAGATTACAGTACCTTCTTGAAGGAGTAGAACTTGCTGCCAGGCGCGTATATGTTATCCTGGTACACCTCGTCCGCGAACACGAACAGCCCGTGCTTGTGCGCGAACTTCACCACCGCCTCGATGTTGTCGCGCGTCAGCACCTGTCGGGTATACACAATCGTTACGTGACATCAAAAAAAAGAAGAGAATAGGGGAGGATTGGAGCAGTAAAATTTCATTAAATCTCATTTAAACTGAAGGGGGCATAATTGGATATCTCACGTCAACTTTAAAAGAAAATATATATTTTAAATAAAACTATCTTTTCCGATTTGTTCGCGGTCAAATTTTAATTTTTGGTTACCAACATTTCAAATCATGATCACGGCAGAGACTGATGAGAGGTCAAGATAAATCTGCGAAAAAATCCGAAAAGATATTTTTTATTTCAAATGTCAAATATTCGCGTAAATCTGGGAAAGTAAAAATATACCTAAATCCAAATAATAAAAAAAAAACTTTTAATTCCTACTATCCGCCCCTCTCTCACGCTGCTCTCACCAAACGTTTCACTAAATATATATTTATATAAGTATTTATATTTGAGTAACTGCCCTTTAGCCTGCTTTTTAATACTATCTCTCAAACTCACTTAGGTTGACTGGAAGAGATCTCTTCTACAGATAAGTACACCTTCGCTAACTAATTTTATTGTTTTTCAATCTGTGTATTTTACATATATGTAAGTGCAATAAGGAATAGTATATAAATAAGTAACCCGCCTGTCCCGTGGGGTTCCCCGGGTTGATGACGACGAGCGCGCGCACGTTGCAGCGCGCGCGCGCCTCCTGCAGCGCGCGCTCCAGCTCCGCCGTGCTGAGCCCCCAGTTGGAGTCCTCGTCCAGGTAGTAGCCCACCTGCTCCAGCCCGTACTCCGCCAGCGACGCCGAGTACAGCGGGTACTGGGGGATGGGGATCATTATACCTGCGAATTATTCATTATCTTTTAGCATTACACTTCCTTAGATTTACGGCGAATATTTGACGTTTTAAATGGAACTATCTTTTCGGATTATTTCGCGGATTTACTTTGATTTTTGGTTCCCGAAGTTTCGAATGCTTTACAGCAATCATGGTCTCGGGAGAGTTTCTCCCAATCGAAAAACCGCCTACCGACCAAAAATCAAGATAAATCCGAAAAGATAGATTTATTCAAAATGTCAAATATTCACATAACTCTAACAAAGTATTATGACGTAATAATAAACCGGCGTTATTAACGCAGTGAACATATGCTGTAACAGATAAGATAAGACTTTTATCCTCTTTATATTTGATACTAAATAACTGATTAACTTTAACTCAACGCATCAACTTTCCATTAGAAATGGGAAATCTCGACTGCCCCATGAAAAATCAGATAATAGCTACAAGTGAAAGGATTTCGTTGGGTTTTCTTTCAAGAATTAATTTGATTTAAATGTAAAATAAAGTAACATGACGATAGATTTGTTGTTAATTATTTCATGAATTCGATTTTATTTAAAACACATGGCTGATAGCAACACATTTTTTTGTGTACAGTGTCATTGTCACGATGGATCTGAGAGATCTGATTATAATCAATGTTCAGTATAGTAACGACATCATTTCTGTAATTTTAACTACTTAAAGTAAACAAAGAAAATAATTAAAAAAAAATGTCAGGGTTATTTTGAATAAAAATTAACAAATTAAAAATAATAATAATAATAACAATGAAACATTGGTAACAAAAAAAAAACAAAATAAAACCGTGAAAAAAATCCAATAAAAAATGACAAATATTTGCGTAAAAATGAAGAAAATATCGTTCATAACGGACTACTAATATGAATGAGCAAACTTTTATATGTGTGTGTGTGTGTGACGTTTGTTATTTCTTTCTGATGAAACGCCTGGACCGATCTAGCCGTTCACAAATTGACTGACCCACAGGCTACTGTTAATTTACCCGAGATAAGCAACTTCGAACTGCTAGTATAAAAACAAAACCCACAACAGAGACAACTCTCCAGGACTCACCGGACTTCTTCCCGCCGAGGTCGTTGCAGAACAGCTGCAGGCAGTTCTTGATGGCGGTGGAGGCGCCCGACGACAGGCAGATGTCCTGCCAGCGCGCGGGGTGCCCGTCGCGCCGCTCGATGTACTCCGCCACGTGGCGGCGGATCAGCTCGATGCCGTGGGATGCCGTGTACGACCCCACTGAACCTCCCCTACACACATTAAATAAATATATATACTGGTACATTACACACAGCACCATCTAGTTCCGTGGTAAGTCCGTGGTAAGCTACGAGGCTTGCGCTATGGATACCAGATAGTTGGTACATTACACATATATAACTTTAAAACATACTTATAAATTTAAACACCCACGACTGGGGTACAATTGAAGTGCTCATCACACAAATGAATGCCCCAGCGGGACTCCAACCCGCATCCGCTGGCACAACAAGTAGGGTCACTAGAAACTGAGCCAAACGCGTCGTTATATCCCTCAGTAATAGCACGTAGTGCCACAACTATACTTTTTTGTAATTTGTCTACAAAGTTATCGAACAGTTAATAGGAAAAATCTATTTATCTTTCAGTCACACCCCCAATATTGTTCGAGTGAAATGACTTTGACGTACAAACAGACAGTCGTGATGAAATTTTAAGAGTTTTTTGTCCTTTACGCTACGGAACCCGCAAACTTGTTTCTAACATTCACAAAACGTTAGAATGAGTTAAAGGTTTGCAATATAAGTTGCAAATCTAAAAATACATGTTATTTCTACTAATATGTATGTACATTGTACAATGTACATATTTCATAAGGAAAGAGCAGTATAAACCAATCTTATCCAGTTATTTCCACTCCGAACGCTTTATTTTTATTGGTATAGTTGTTAAAAAATATAATAAATAGGTAAATCTAATAAAACGTATTTAAGTCAAACAATTTTGTAAAATTGACGCAGAATTTTGTAATATCGGAAAATATTGAATATGAAGTTTTAAAAATCTACAAGACAAGAGACAAAAACCTAAAGAAGCTTTTGATCAACTGTAATTAATCGACTTCAAAAAAAGAGGTTATCAATTTCACACGTATGTATGCAATACGAGCGACTCACCCTCTAGCTTAATTCCCCGTACAAACTTTCATCCCCATTTCCCCCCCCCCCCTTAAGGGATGATTTCCGGAATATCCTGTCTTTCCCAGGGTCTCAAACTATCTTCTTACCAAATTTCATATAAATCGGTTTAGTAAATCCAGAGATTACCCCCTACAACATCACAAACTTTACTTCTTTATAATATTAGTATAGATTATTGGAACTGTAAAATATTCACATATAATAAATAATCTATTAGGGTTTCCAAACAGATTTTATAGTCGTATAATGTACATATAATATTATATACGTATTTATGTATGTTTACATGTATATTTGTATTTCTGTATGTTTGTCCAAATATTTCTCTACAAAGGCGCCATATATCGATACGTCAATAATTATAAAGTAGGTTTAAAATCGACTTCTAAGATTTCATTATTAAAAATTTTATTACAAGTGAATTATAAAAATATACATTATTTCATTGTATATATTTTTTCGATTCAGGTAATATGCTTGAATTTTAATGATTTTTTTTCAACAACCAAGGTCAAACGTATACATTCAATGTATGTACATTGTACACCGAGCCAGATTAATGATCTATAGATCATTTACATACTTATTAGTCTGAGAACGTCATTCACAGGAATCACAGTTATTAGATAGAATAAGGTTGTGAAGGTTGTTAGAAGTACATACATATACATACTCACACATTCTGTTCTTACATTTACGAGTTCTTTTATTTTTAGTTACTGCGTTTTAATACATTTTCCTGACTTTATACCTCATCTGTTTATTAAACCTCATCTGTTTAATAAAAAGAAAACTTTGAAAATAAATTTTCTGAGATTTTTCATTCTCATATTAGGTACTAAAACTTAACGTATACTTAACTAGCGATTCACCCTCGCTTCATATGGTTTCGTCCCTAGGTTGCTTCCCCATACAAACTTTCATCCCCATTTTCACCCCCTTAAGGGATAATTTCCGGGATAAAAACTATTCTGTCCTTCCCAGGGTCTCAAACTATCATCATATCAAATTTCAAGTAAATCGGTTCAGTAGTTTCGGAGCTTATTCGGTACAAACAAACAAACAAAAAATTCTTTCGTCTTTATAATATTAGAATAGATAAATATAATTTAAAAAAATAAAATCTGGTTAAATATTCTTCCAAGAAATAGTAATTAAAATATAAAAATATTTGGTTGCTCCCAATTTTTTAACACTAAAGACATTTTAACAGCAACTCTTACCCGCAACCACCGAGGATGTCCCGCGCCCTCTGCTTAACGTCTTCTGGGAAGTCACCCTTGTCTATCAAATCTGGATGAGATATACACGCCAGCACCTGAATATTTATGATTTCTTTATTAAAATTTATAAAACTCCAAAAAACCAGAAATACTGGTAGTATAATGGTAACGAACTTACTTGGGAAACCGAGTGAAGCGAGTTCGAATCCCGGGTGTCACACAGATACATTCATATGCGAATAATTTTCAACATGATCACTTCTAGCCTTATGGTGAAATAAAATGTCATACGGAAACGTGCACGAGAGAATCTAAGCCTACAATTGGCCAGCGTGGTGGACTATGGCCTGATGATTTTGGATTCTTTAATTCAAGGAAAACTGGGCTCTAGCAGTGAGACGATAAAAAGGGCTGCACGAGATATATAGACTGTAGATAGGTAGAGCTACTCTAAGAGTGCACGTGTAAACAACGTCAAACCACAAACAGCAATTATAAATTATAATATTAGATAAGATTAAGTTATACACGATTTTTTCCAATATTATTTATACATTTGATAGAAAAGCACATTTCTCAATCCAGTCAGTAGCTACAGCTTTGCTATTATTATATAATCGCGAAAATATGTCTGCTTCGTACCTTTTCACACCTAAAACTTACAAAATTTAGATGAAATTCATAAAGATGTCTGGGAAAGATAATTTCGAAAACGAAACGAAAAAATATAACATAAATATTATGGCTAAATAAGAAAGAAAATTGATCAAAATTCGTAAATTGACATACCTACTTATTTTTTAATATTTAGAAGTTTGTGAGTTTTGGCACTGTATTACTAGTAATACACTGTATAACAGTAGATTTCGCGAGTATAAACTACATTCCGAGTAGCTATTCTGCTCATCGAGCCGAAGATCGTCATCAGATCTTAATCAAATTTTTATGAGTCCAACCCATCCAGTAGACCCCTTTTTGCCCCTTTTTCGAGGAAGTACCTACCTCTCATGAGACAAAAAAATCTAAGTCGGAAAACTTGTATACCAAGTTTCTTCCAGATCGGTTGTAAAATACGATCTGTAGAGGAGTACCAATAAACTGTCAGGGGAAAGCAAATTTTGCCAGACTTGAAGCAGAGACAAAACTAGATTTTGTCTGCGGGTCCAATACCGTGGTATAAATAAATATGGGGATAAAAATAAGATTACCGCTTAAATTACTATTAGAGATATAGACTATCGCCATTCCGAATTTCACGAAAACCCTTTAAGCAATTACAGCTTGAAGAAGTAACAAACACATTTACTGCCAGACGCATAAAGTTCGCATTTATATCTATATATAATGAAATAACTTACTTGTCTAATAAATGTGATGGGAGTCTGTCCCATGGCGTGAGCATCGCCTATGTTGGCTCTGATCACCCTTTTGAAAGGCTTCTTTGCCCCCTGGAAGATTAAGAAAAACAATAATTAAATGTAGGCTATATTAATTAAACACAATAAAATTTACAAAAATATCAGTTCAAAATATGAGATACGGTAAAAAAACGCTTATATAAATATTTAATGCGTAATTTTAAATAGCAAAACGCGCAATTGACACACAAAAAAATCCTTTTCTAATATTTAAATTTTAAAATAGTATATATATATGAATAAAATTTCTGTAATATGGTACATATATTATGTTATTACACATACATACAATTATCACTTGATCGAGACGATTCTGCAATGTTCAATGAAACATGCTAATTTATGCTATTTTAAATATGTATGCCACAATATCCTAATTCTTACTGATATTGTATAACTAGCTATTTTAACGTTTAGTATAGATTTCTCAAAGATGAGATACTTTCCCGTAGTAAAAAGTATTCTTTATGTTAACCCCAGATAACCAGTTATCATCTTACCAAATTTCATCAAAATCTGTCCAGTGGTTTTCTCGTGATGCGTTCCTAGACAGACAGACATACATTTTTTTTAAACTATAGATTCGGCCTCTGTATCGATAATACCTAATGACTATTTATTTCAATAAGAATTTACAAAAAATATTTAATGTACAGAGTGGACTCAGAATTTTACTATAATATGTATATAGGTAGATATTAAATATGAGAACATGAATCTTTCTGTCTGTTAAACTTTTACGATGAATACGGGCATACCAACAATTCCTACATGATAGCGTAGATGAAAATTTTGTATCTTTTATATACGGCAGCTTCGACAAGTATTTCGACGTGTTTGATATACAGCGTGATTAAAATGAATTATTTCAAAGTCACAAGATTTTACAACGATAGGTATTATACGTACCTACTACCAATGTATAGAATCAATGTCTTTCTTTACTCTGAATGTGATGTCACCAAAATTGCACGACGAATTGTGTCATTACTCAATTGAATGATAACAGTGCACAGTTGGGTGAAGTATGAGACTGTGATGCGTTAGATGCTGTTTATCATTATTGTACAATTTTGACGATACGTTTGGCTCAATTTGTAGTGACCCTACTTGCTGTGCCAGCGGTCGCGGGTTCCAGTCCCGCTTGGGGCATTCATTTGTGTGATGAGCACGAATGTTTGTTCTCCAGTCATTGCTGTTTATATTTACAATATGTATTTAATGTGTAGTATATCAACTATCATATACAGTAACATAACAGTATATACTGTACTGTGCAGTAAAATAATACAAAGTTAAAGATTTTGTGGTAATGTCGGCCGATATCGTTATATTATTACCAAAATGTTATTTTAATTGCAGTAATAAAGTGGAGTTTTTTGTACAAAATGGAGATTCGCGTTGGAGCGTTAGTACAAAACAGTTAAACAAATTTTATGCAGCTATATATTATAGATAAAAGTAAAACTAACAATAAGTTTCATTTGAATGTGTTAAGTTGATGAATACAAGTTGGGCTTGTCAGGATAAGGCGTTCTCTTAAACAGGGGTACCTAGTAGTCATATTATGGTGATCTCACAAAAATACTTTAAAAGTGGGGAAAGTCGCAAATAAATGGCAATAAACTAATTCTAAGACATAGTTTTCACCGCAAAAACACAGTGAAATCAGAAATTGAACCCGTGATATCTATCCTAATTGTCAACATCTACTAACATACACCTATAACTAGGCATTTCTTTGAAAAATGAAATTTTCGAATTGGATACGTTACGTATGTAAATATCGTACCTAATTGCAAAGTGATAATATATTTAAAATGCAAAACATCCATCTAATGACCTCCGACTGACGGTCGATCGATATTAATTAATTTTAAATTAACAGCGTATGTAGGGCATTATGTAGGTCACTTTATGACTTTTTAAGTTTTCAACATAATATATTTTTTTCTTATTAATTATAGAAACAATAGTCTGCCTATAGTCGCAGGTTCGATACACGAGGCAAATTACGTCAGTATTTATTTGTTTAGTTAAAACACAGCGAACATCCTTCGACCACATCATCCGAAATGGAGTAAATTAATAATATATAATTTATATAGTTTGAATCCGACTGAAGTTATTTACATGATTTATACCGACTTATCATAACACCGACATAACTTGCATAATCCACTACACATCACACGTACTCGTGATCTGATAAGGAGTGTTAAACACTCAATAAAATCAAGGCGCAACAGGTAACTGAACCAGATTGTTCTTGTAAAATTTCTTCTAATTTTTATATTGTGCGACCATGTAGAGAACGCTGAAGGTCGAATTTTAATTTCCCGGTCGGTGACTAAAATGATGAGCGGAAAAAATATTTTTTAAGTAATAACTATAAAGAAAGATTTCAAATTTGTTCCACGCTTCGGGGTGGTTTATTTTTCATTTGTATAAAACGAATCAAAGTATTTCTTAAAAAAGAATTTTGAATAACGATTCAAAATTGACGATTATATCAAATACTCACAAAAATAGAACAAAAAAATAACGAATTGAGTACCTACTTCCTCATCTAACCGAACGAAAGTTGCGTATAACTTATAAACCATGTAGGCCCAGTGGTAATTATCATCTATCGGCATTTAATCATTTATCAGCAAGGCTATGGGTTCGATACATTTTTATCCTAACTTAGCAAAGGAAGTACAAAACACTGTACTTTAAAAGAAAAAAGTGGTAAGCTGTAAATATGTACTTCTATTCTACCTTACTCATAATAGCATAATATATAATTTACGCTAACAATTATTATAATAAGTAATAATCTTGCACTTGTTTAAGCTAATGAATTCTTAGTATGAAGACGAGTGACAATTTAAATACAAGCACGCTTAAAAATATAGATGTAACTAGATATAACCGACTCTTTTATTTTTTATACCATGGACGTGGTTAATTCGTTCATGTTTTATACATTTTAAAACTATCGTATTTTTTTATTGCACAACTAGCTGTGCCTCGCGGTTTCACCCGCGTTTATATTAAAAATCGGATAAGTAGTTCCTGAGCATAGCGCGTTTAAACAAACAAACACACAACCTCTGCCTCTTTATAATATTAGTATAGAAAACAATTTACATTGACGGTGTTTTTAATCATTTCCAAATATGTTTCTTTTTAAATTTTTTAGTGTCTTGGACCATTTTTTGGGCTTTCATTGACTAGACACCTCTTTTAAAAAAATTAGGCTCATACAGTCTGTCTGTCTGTGAACGCATCACGGAAACACTACTGGAGGGATTTTGATGAAATTTGGTATGATGAAAGATGGTGGTTATCCGAGTCAACATATAGGATACTTTTTATTACGGGAAAATATCTCATTGCTGACAAATCTATACTTATTATAAAAATAAGTCCCCCGGCCGCGTCTTTCTGTCCTCCTGTCTGTCCTCCTGTCTGTCTGTACGCGATAAACTCGAAAACTACTGAACGGATTTTTATACGGTTTTCAACAATAGAAAGAGTAATTCTTGAGGAAGGTTTAGGTATATAATTTATTATGCTTTTATGTAAATTAGCTGAAATACGGCGACAAATGTTGAAGAGGTCGCAAAAAATCTCGCCAAATGGGAACTTTCCACGCGAACGCCGCGTAAACTAGCAAAGATACAGTTAAGTAATGTACTAGAGAATTCAAAATCTATAAAAATGCTACAAAAAAGTCCGCGATAGCATATCTCTATCTCTTACGGTTGACTTACAATAACCACTTTTATGTTAACATTTTTAATTAAAAACATTACGTTATTTTCAAAGTTATTTTCTTTAGTTCGGTATTAATCCTTATCCAAATGAATATTTTAGTTAGCTTAGTCATTTAATGCAGATTAAAATTGCTCTTTACACTAAATCAATCAGATGAATAGTTTTTGAGATATCGTTGTTAGAAGTAATTAGTAGCGAAACATTTTTAATGCTTGGCGAGCATTGAGATGCCTACGGCGAGTCCATCCCCTCTGCCCCGCATCGCTCGACCGCCTGCTCAAGCTATATAAACCGGGCGATGTAGCGCGCGATCCTAGGATACTTTTTACCGCGGGAAAATATCTTATTTCTGAGGAAAAATACAAAAACTGCAATGTAAGAGTATACTAATATGTAACACCTAAGAATTTAGTTTTTGGTCATCTGAACGCGGGCGGAGCCGCGGGCAATGCTAGTGTATACTAATTGTTGAAACGTAAGTCGGGCCGAACCCGCGCGGAGCGAGTGTGAGTCGCTAGTATTGATATATGTCATGATCATTTATGCTGCAAACAAAATCTAAACTAATCTTACGTTATTAAGAATGTCCAAAGTTTTGTAAAGCGATGCACTTATCTCTAACATATCACTCAATTTACATACTGAGAAGCATTATAACATATATTACAATATGAAACCTTACACGAAAATTACTTATGATAACAAATAATTTTATTAGTTAATTTCCATGAAAACGAAAATTACCAATGTATTTCTAGCACATCTTAGTGTAAGGCTCTATACACACCGTCGATATAATTCGATATGTCAAGGTTGGTGGAGAACTTCAAATTCATAATAAAAAAGCGACCGTTAAAACTTGTCTTCTTATTCCGACCATACAAAACGATTATTAAAAAAAGTATCAGTAAATTGGCGAAAATATTATGTAACAAACATACATCTAAATTGAGTCGAATTGAAGGTAAGAAAGGAATTGACGAATGATTGACTATAATATAAGAACCATAAATTATAATATGATGTATCTTTGGTTACAATTGCAACCAGTGCACAAGTATTTTAAATAAAACTGTCTTTTCGGATTTTTTCGCGAATTTATTTGGATTTTTTGGTTCCCGACGTTTCGAATGCTTTACACCAATCATGGTCACGGGAGAGACTAACTATACACAATACCATTGGGCAATGGTAAATAAAACAATATCTGCCTTATTTGTATCTGACTTTTTATGTAATTGTTTTATGAGATATCTTTAAATGCAGCTCACATTGTGCACGGGACTTAATTATTTCAATTAATCATCTTGAAACCATAATCAATCTTAATGTGACATAACTGCTGTCAACAGATATAAATCCTAAGGGAAAACTCAGTTTCATTTATAATAAACCTAGCTCACCCTCGCTTCGAGAAGAACAAAAAAATCTATCCCATGAGAACCATACATTTTCCCAGGATAAAATGTAACCTATGTGCTAAACTTTAATTTATCTCTGTGTCAAATTTCATCCAGATCTGTTCAGAAGTTTTGGTGTGATTGGGTAACAAACATCCAAACATCCATCTAAAACTTATTACATCTAAAATGATAGTTTTGCCCATCTGGGCCAAAACTGGACACTCCTTGACTATTGACACCATTTTGATATTAATATTTAGATTTTAATATCTACCATGTATCTCTCATATCAATACAAATATCATATGAATAAAAAGCCTTAAGAATTATGTATGTTTTTAAAATACATAGTGATGCACACTTTTTATATGTATTATCAATTATGTATATGTATGTATGTATGTATATATGTATACAATTGTAGATCTCCATAGGATTGTTTGCACCCCTTCCTTCTCACTTTCTTTTTCTGCCCAAAGGTTGACTGGAAAAGATTGCTCTCTGGTGATAAAGACATTTATTGTAGTATTTCTACTTTAATTTTTTGCTGCTATGTAAGGTAAAATACATTCATAATATATGAGAAATGTACGAAGTGCTACTTATAGCCACAACAAAGAAATAAAAAAAAGATAAAACAATGGTGTGCATTAAAGAATATTTGTAATACAATTGAGACATTTTGGTATTCCACTATAAATTATAATAAATACATCATCATGATCTCTCTGCCCATTTTCCAATCACTTATGGTCGGAGCAGTACATCTTCCATACTGCTGATAGGATTTGACATAAGTTTTATAACCGGCCGACTGCCCGACATCAACCCTCCTTGAGAATAAATTATAAAATGTACATATCTCAAGCTAATAAAAAGAAAGTTGGCGTAACTCCATAAATTTAACAAAAATTTCCACAGATGTATAAACAAATATTGTGTAGTGACAACACATAAGTATTTCTAGTTTCTAGTTTATTTCTAACAAGTAGCTATTATTGGACATAGCATCATGTCTGTTTGGAACACATTCAGCAGAGGCAGCAACACTGCTATGATAAATGTGTAAGTAACTTTAAATTCTATAGCAATATTACATAATGATCAACTCAAAATTGCGGTAATTTCAAAATAATGAGCAATTATCCAGTAAGCACTGAAAGAGAACTAGTAGCGATGCTGAATTATCGATTCAAGCTAATTAAAAGTATTTAGGATGAAAATATCTATCTCACAGCTGCTCTTCATTAGCCCAGTTAATGGCAGCAAATATATATTTTATAAAAACAGACAGCTGTTATCAAATTAACTTTCATTTCAAGAGTTTTGATTGTAGAATGCATAACTAACAAATTTTAAATGAATAAATAGTAAGCGTTAATTGTCGAAATAAATATAGCCCTTCCGTTTTCAAGGACCGAGTTTATAGGTAAAAAGAAATTGCTCAACCACTATAAAATTTAGGTGATAAAAAGTATTTTTTCATAAACATTGTAAGAAAAATATAAGCTTGAAACATATCAATTGATTTTTCATATGTTTGAAAGTGACACTAGTCAAGATATTTAGTACTTATGTTATAAAACAATTTTTACAATTATTTTTCTATTGCTGTAGAAAGGCTTCTTTCTGTTTCTTTTTGAAACACTCAGAAAAAAAATATTTTTTGTACAATCACATTTCTTATCCGAATACACTTTTTAATCATAATGACTTAATTAATGCTACATTTCTAATAGATGTGATAGACCAAGTCTATTTGATTAAGTGCATCTTATGGCATTATTTATAGCTATTGTCAATCAGTTTAAACATCAAGAAATTGAAGCCATATAAAAAATATTGCTACTGTGTGATAGTAATTTGATAAGTCTGTGGGTTTTATAACTATGTACTTAAATAAGTTCATTTAAATTAAAAACTTTTTAAATTTTTGTTTGAAAAAAATTACATCTATTATCTTTACAGAGGGCATAAGTAAAGTGCTTTGTTTTGCAATACAATTACAACAATACACACACTCATAAAACAATTTTCATTTATATTCATGTTCATATCATAGGGCTAGTATTTGTTTTAAAATATAAGATAGGTATATTTGTGATGTTAGCTTTAATTATAATCATAAAATTATTGATTTTCATTAAAAATCGATGTAAATTAACTATAAAAATGATAGAAGACTTAAGAATTTATTAACTAACTTCTGTTTCACTTAACTTACTCCAATTTCAATCATGCTAATGAACTATGTTAATTTACTTTGCATAGTTATAGTTCATCAACAACAAGTCAAATACATAATAGCAAATAGAAAATAGAAATTACAAACTGTGCACATATAAAATTAGTTTCATTGACAATATAACTCATCAGGAACACCATACTATGTTTCGTATGTATATGTGTTTAAAGTTAATTTTGTCGTACGTATCCTATATGACCTTGTATTTAATAACTTTCAATATTATTTAGTAAGTATACTCATATTGCTAAACATTTTGAAGTTGGTAAGGTATTTTACTTTTAACTCCCTAAAACATACACAAATATACAGAAATTCTTACCTTCTCCAATTCCTTTTCGATTTCCGCGGCGCGGATGACCAGAGGTCCTCGCACAGCATATTCCAGTTTCAGAATATTTGGGTTAATATTTTCTATCGTGACCGCTTTTGATGCCATTGTTCGTGTATTACTTTGCGTGTTCTGAGGTAACAATACTGCTAACACCACCGGCTCAGTCGGTCTCCCTACACCGCGCGCAACTCGACTGCCCGCGACGCGGCTTATCATCAGCCTTAGCGATGACATGGTCTGTAATCAGTGACACTAAATACGTCACTACACACTCGTAACGTACGTAATAAACAGAAAATACGTTTTTATTCACAGTTCATTATTATAACAAGCACCAATAATTTTATATAACACAGTTTTGCGCACCATAAAATTATGCGAGAGCAGGATAACAGGACTTTGATTGTTGCCTACCTTTATTGGAATATAAAAAAATCGTATTAGAATCGATAGAGTTCGTTCAAGAATTACTTGATACTACACAACATTAAGACGTTGCTTAATACTTCAGACGGTGACCTCTCATAAGGTTATCTAAGAATTGTACTAGTATCACACAAATAATATCATACATAGATTTAATTAATAATTTTAAACGTCACTTAAGGGTTAAAATTTTTAATTTTTTATACACATATTTAATTAATTAGATGTTACGTAATTGTATAATTATAGAAATTATACAATGTACAATATAGAGTTTTCAGTTTATTGACTCTGAATTCTGGAACTATACGTTATGTATCACAATTATAGAATATAGATGTACAGAATCAGATTCTATCTATAATCTATATTTTATTTAGTGTTTTGACTTTGCATTTTTCTTGTTGCAACATTATCGTTGTACTGTCAATCGTTGCGTGCACAGATAGAATATATATAAAAATAAATAAATACGCAAATAATTATCAAAAAACCTTTATCAAACAAGTGAATTTTACTCATAAATTAGATATTTCTGTGCGTAAAATCTACAATATACTTTAAGTGTAATAAACGTGTATTATCTTATTTTGTCAATATTTTAGTTGCAATAAAATGTTAAGTGTGCAGTAATCTTAATGAAGTAATCCAAAATTACTTTCTCACGGATTCTCCTTATTTTCAATTGTTATCTAGTAAAATAAATAAATCAGTCAATATTGACCATTTAATTCATTCCATGGTCTTATTTTTTGATTTTTTGTAATATTGCTTTATTTATTCCAGTTAAAAATATAAAACCAAATTTATTATTATGTTAACCTGCAGTTCATATAATATCTCTTTATTACATTTAAAGATACTTTTAATTAAATTAAAGTATCAGCAACAAATGTAAACTACGCAAATGACAACATAGATTGTACAGAACTGCCTACGTTAAGCTTTTAAACATGATCTGGCGTTGCTTACCAAATTGTTTACTTGAATGTTCAACAGAAACGCGCAACACTACGTGCGTCGTTATTCGTAATGAGTTATCAACCGGTAACAGAAATTAGTAAATATGATAATATTACATACCTACCTACTGATAAAATCTTATCTTTGATTAATTATATATTACTCTTGATTGTAACTTGTATTTCTTATTTAACAACTTTCGAAGCATTTGTTGCTAGGTGTAGATTAGGGACATTAAAAATAGACCGATATATATTTCATAATTAATTTATTTTTACACAATATTCTCGACTAATGTCAAACAACTAATAATAATAATTTCCCAATACAAAAATATTTCATCTCCTTATTTATTATATTGACAGATTTATACTTTTTACAATTGTATATATACCTCCATCTTAATGTGCTCCTGGTCAATATGTAATTATATAAAAACAGTTGTGATGATATTTATAATATGTATACATTTTCTTCTTAATATAAAAATTATTAATTGGCTCATTTAAACGTTTCAAACTTAAAAATCCCACATGTTTTTCTTTGAGAAAAACAATTCTAGATACTATATACATTTTAAATGAAGCAACAAATAACATAGTTCAGCAAACATTATATTCATTTTTCTAATTAATGTACATCACATGTTGGAACGCACATATTTACAATGGATAAAGGATTTTTATAACAAAATTGACGATACTTTAACATTAAACAACAGATATCTCACACATTTATGGCAAATCGTCAATACCACAAAGAAAAATAATTTTACCATTTAATAGACAATTATAAAACACAACATAGCTATATTTTACATAGTCTTATAACGAAATAAATAAATTATTCTCTAAATAGTTACGTCGCTTATTGTCAAATGAACTTAAAACGCTAGAAAGAGCGGCCGGCGGTTGTCGCCTCCCTTCATATTACTGTATGTACTAAATCAAAACCTCTCCACTCGCTAACCGTTAGTCTAGGACTGTTATGGAACAGACGGACAGAGTGACACTCGCCAGCTCGTAACGTCCTAGACATATCGAGATTTATATTATTATATTTAAAAGTCTCCTCACAATATACATATACCTACATGATATCACGCGATGATATGATTTCGACGAAGAAGAATACTGACACATAAGTACGGCCGGAGTTAGTAGAAAAATAAAAACAGGAAAGTAAAATTTAAACTAAATAAAATATAAAACAAATAACAGTGTTACTTATAGCTTAATAATCGATAACGTAAAAGATCATCAGTGTTGCCAAATGAAAAAAAAATCATAGACAAATCAACAGTTTGTTTTAAAAATATAGCAGGAAAAAGTGTATAAGAAATAAAATATATAAGAACATCGAAAGTAATGATGAACAAATAGAAAAGAAATAACATCATTTGGTTGTATTCCATCAGTTCCATTAGGTAAATTTCTTCTCAACACACATACATAATATGTGTAAAAAGATCTAGTAACCACTTTGTATAGCGACCGAAGACAAGAAAAAAAGGGTTACAAAGCGAAAACTGTAAGTTTCACTATAGCATCGACACTATCGTATAATTTGGCAAAGACATGTGAAACTGTCATTTCGAGTGATAACAAAAGAGGTCGTGTAACGTGTCCCCGGCCTTGCTAGCAGTCGCGGTCCTCGCGCACGAGCTGCTGCGTGTCGGCGCCGGTGTCGGCAGCGGGGTCGAGCGCGCGCGCGCGGCGGCCGCGCGGCTCGCGCGTCTCCGTGGCCGACGGCGACAGCACCGCCGACACCACCTTGTCCTTGATCTCCTCCGGCACCTCGTAGATGCCCGCTGTGGGGGGATACATCATATAATATACTTTGTTAAAGTGTAAAATGTGGTTAACTATTATATCTTCGGGTAACATTTTGATCGCCGTGGTGCCATAGTTTGCCGATTAATTCTTATAGATATTGAAAAAATAAAACGAAAAATAAGAATAAAAATTTTAGATATCACGCTTTGAGAAAAACTCAAAAATCGAAAAAAATGTTTTTTTTTTTATCATTAAAATTATATTGAGGAATTTTATAGTTAAGACTTAAAGTTACAATATTTTCATACATTATATCGGAAAAATTGGAAGTTTCATTATGATGTTTGCTGTCATTATGACACTTCCAATTTTTCCGATAGTGTTCGGCACCAATTCGAGACCATTCGACACCATTCGACTCGAAACTGTCACCAAATTTAAAATAACATAGCACTGATGATATTAGGGGTTCTGGGTTCGAAATAAAAAAACCCATTGACGAGTATGTTGTCCCTGTCACAAAATCAAAAATTAAAACTTACAAATAAATAACCTACATACTTATATTTTAGAAATAGTCTGCTTATACTTTATTTTTCGTTTTATTTATTTTCTTAAATGTACTGAATTCGGTAAATATTTTTTTTTTCGATTTTTGAGTATCAATATCTCGAAATCAATGCATACATCGAAAATTTTATTTATTCTTATTATTTGTTTTATTTGTTCAAAATCTAGTTCCTTCAAATTACGGCGCCACGGAAATTAAAATACCCCTTATCTCTAATATTAAATGGAGAAGTTTACAACTTTTTTTATAAAAATTTAAGTAAAATATAACAAAAATATGAAATAAATATTAAAATAAATAATAATGTATCTCAACAAACGAAAAAGTTATGAAACTTTAAAGTTGGGTTTATACTAATTTCGTGACACCCTGAACGATCGAAATGTAATTTAACTTTTTTGTCATTTATTGATAGATTTAAAAAAATCACTTTATTAATTTGGTGTATTTAAAAAAAAATCCATTGTAAAAAAAATTCCATAGACAAAAATTCAATATTATTTAAAGTCAGCTACACACACGATTTTTTTAACACATTTTTATAAATACTGTAAAAACACAATTTTGTTACAATTTTTAACCAATAATGTAGTGTATATATAAATTTTAATGAATGATTAATAACGTATGTATATAGTAACTAGTAGGTATAACTCACGTAGCGGCGGCTCCGGGTCGCCGACGGCGGCGGCGCGCGTCACGGCCTCGTACATGGGGTTGCTGAAGTCGCGTCCCTTGCGCGCCGGCTCGCCCAGCGCGTACGCGTCCGCGCCCGCCGCCCCCGCGCCGCCCGCCCCCGCGCCGCCCGCCGCTGCGCCCAGCCCCGCGCCGAACTCCACGTTGGAGCCGGCGCGGAACGAAACGCTCTGAGACGACGCTAGGCTTCCGAGACCACCACCCTTGCCGCTGGAAATAGAGATGAATATAAGGACGCTAGCATATAAGGTTATATGTTACGAATCATGTTATGGTTCAATAGGCTTTTTGAAATTTTCGACATTATATCACTCCGGAGGATGTTATCGTTATTACATTTTATATTTTGGAAACCCTGTAAAATCGTCAATTTGGCGTCTCTCTCTATCAGCCGTGTCTTGTCCTCGCCAGACTATGACAATAATCATATTATAAAAATGTTTATAAAATTTCGACTTGATATTACTTTCGAGACCCCCCATTAAAGACATACAAAACATTAATATAATATATAGAAAAAATGAGAACGAGTAGAATATATACGTATTGTGTTATAATGATGTAAAAAAGCACTCACAAGGGTCGTTTCCGCACGATGAACCAAGCGGCGGCGCCGGCGGCCGCGAGCACGAGCACGAGCAGCACGGGCACGAGCACGGCAGCGGGCGCGGCGCGCGGCGCGGCGGCGGCGGCGGCGCAGCGCGGCGCCTGCAGCGGCGGTCGGCACGCGCAGCTCACGCCGCCCAGCGCGTCCTCCACGCACGTGCCGCCGTTCTCGCACGGACACACCAGCGGCAGCGGCCGCGTCGGCTCCACCGCTGACCACATCCAACATACTCAGTATACAGTTTAATATAGCACGCGGCCTCTAGAGGATTGGGATATACCTACATAATATTTTCGAATACGAGAGGTGTTGTGAGTCTAAATATATAAAAATACTAGATTTGTTTGCCACTGTTGAAAATTATCAATCCCTAAAACGACTGTTTTTAAGCGTGGATACATATTTGAAAAAAAAATGAAATAGTTTGACAGTTTGTAGATTAGTATCTCTCATCTATCAAAAGTAGCCGTTATGAAGACCCGACGATTCTTTGTATGAATTTGGGTTTGCCATCTGTATTAGTTTAATATAATACTAAATCAATAAGTCATCTGTAGTAATACAATAATTTTATTTGAAAACCATTATTAATATATAAAAACATAAGTGCATATTTCCTAACAAATATCTCATCAAAAAGTGACGTCGACAGTCAAACCAAAAAATAAAATTGAAAAATCAAAATTTTAATTGTCTAAACACGATTCGATTATTCGATCGTACAACATATAAACCAGTTTTTTAAACGAAATAACGTTCGATCGTCAACCGAAAATCAATTAACAAAAGGGATTTAAAAAAAAACGCAATTCAATTTCAAATTGTAAAAAATTTTTTAAGACCGATTTTGAGAAGCTAATTTTGTATCTTGAGTTTTTGTATAAAAATGTTGAAAGCCTATGAAACAATAGTAGAAAATTAGAAAAAGGAAAAAGGATATAAAATAATATAAAACAATAACCGGCGTCGCAGGCGAGCTCGTGCGCGACGCGCTTGGGCGGCGGCAGCAGGTCGGGGCAGGCGCAGCGCCGGCCGCCCGGCACGGCCAGGCACAGGTGCGAGCACGGCGCGCGCGCGCAGCCGCTGCGCGCCAGCAGCGACGTGTTGTAGCGCAGCGGGTGGTACACTGCCGGGACACAAACGACTTACACACGAACTCACTAACTTTACAGTTACCTAACCGGTCATCTCTTTATAATATTAGTATTCTACATATTTATTTTAATGGTTTTTTCAACTTTTTAATTAAAGAAATAGTTCGAAATATATGTAATATATTTTAGAAAATATTTGCTGATTTATTCTAATTTTTCGTTGCCAACGTTTAGAATACAGAACAAATCAGTCTCGATAATTTTAATAACAACAATTTATCAATTTAAAAAAAATAGCCAGGTTAAGGTTTCAACTCATATTTAATTTCTTTAATTGTTTAAATATATGTAGAGTCTTATACATATCGTAACTGCTAGAAAAGTGACGATGAAAGACTGGTAGCAAAATTGAAACCTACCTTTCACAGCCGAGGGATTGACTAGATCCTTGGATATAACGAATGGCACTCCTCTACCGAATTTGTCTTGTCGCACCAGCTCGCCGGTTTCCCGCGTCACCCAGTACAATGATGATTCAAAGACGTCCAAAGACAAAGGATGTTTCAAGAAATCTCCCTTTAAAATAACTTTGCGGTTTGTTCCGTCTTGTTTCATCATCTCTATAGTATTCAATTTAGTATCTGCCCAATAAATATTATGGTCCATGGCGTGATCGATGGCCAAACCTGTAGGATGTCGGACATTTTCCGTAATGATTGGCCTTCTCTTAGAGCCATCCATCCAAGCTGTTTCGATCTTTGGCGCTGATCCAGCATCAGTCCAGTACATTTTACCGAATTGAGGATCTAGGACTAGTGACGTTGGACTTTCAATACCAGCTGAAACTAAAGCTCGCCTATATCGTCCATCGGTTCTGGCTACCATGACGCGCCCTCTCGGCTTAGATCCAGTTCTATCAGTTTCGGTCCAATATAAGTTTTCTCCGATGTAATCTACAGCGATGGCTGTGGGCTTAGAATTGCCTTTCATATTCAAATCTTGAGCGTACCCGGTCTTGGCTTCACCGTTTAGAGCATTAACCATGTACGAACGTTTGATGGTTTTGTCGTAGCTGTCTGCCCAGAATACCATTTCCTGATTTGGATCGTAATCAATGGCTTCAATTCTCTTTTCAGATGTGATAATATCAAATTGTTCATTTTTATCTTGAACGAATGCCCTTATTTCGGGGCCGTTGGCAAATATTAATACTACGTCATCTTTAACAGCTTTGCATATACCAGACAAGGAGTCAGCTAATCTGAAAATTTAAAATAATACTATTTAATAACCTATTCTTAAATAAAGGCTTATCTAAATCCTCGGGTCATGTATAAATTTTTTTTAAAGACCAGCATTAAGCTGGTTAAGCAATACTAACTTGAAGCCATCCCGACAGCTGCAGCTGTAGCTGCCGTTGAGGTTGGTGCAGACGTGCGAGCAGTGGTGCGCGCCGCTGGCGCACTCGTCTACGTCGGCGCAGCGCTTGCTGTCGGCGCGCGAGATGATCCAGCCCTGGAAGCACGTGCAGATGTAGCCGCCGGGCCCGGCGCCGGCGCCGAGCGGCAGCGTCAGGTTGGTGCAGAAGTGTTCGCAGCCGCCTGGAGGTAAATAATTAATATTACACTTTTAAATTAAAATTCATAATTAATGAGCAACTTAGACATGCTTTGCTCGAGGTGTCCCTAGGTGCCTAATGGCAGTTTATATGTTGCAAATTTTTGAGCAAGACACAATAATGACATAAATATGGTACCTTTATCGACTGGTGAGCAAGTATGAGTGTGGTGACACCCCAGCTCGTCGGACCCATCGCCGCAGTCATCTGCCAAGTTACAAAGTTGCGTACGCGACACACAGTTGCGGTTTGCACATTGGAACTGCGTGAGCGGGTCGCAAGGACGCGCGCGCGACGCACACAATGTCATATTATTCTCGTCTGAACCGTCTCCACAGTTGTCTATGCCGTCGCATACTTGGTATCTGTAAGTATTAGTAAAATAAAGTTATAAGATGAAGAAAGAGTATTGACAAGTAAAATATGACCAATAATTTACATTATTTATATACATATGTAATTATATATGTACAACATATTCTTAATTATTGTGTAAATTCTACCTAGGCACGCAGCGATGATTTTCGCAATGGAAGCGTCGAAGGGTGTCACAGTTAAAGTCAGTACAAATTGAAGGAGCTTCATCGGATCCGTCACCACAATCATCTGTTCCATCACACAGGTCTGATTGTGACACGCACAAGTTATTCGCGCATTGGAATCTGGTAAAAAAATATTAGTCAGAATGTACCCCGTTTATAAAAAAAATGTTGTTTCTTGAACTATGAAAAAGTTTTTCAGTTACCTGCTTTCTGGACAATATCTTCCACCGGGGAATCGTGGAGGACATCCGATTTCATCAGATAAATCCCTGCAGTCCCTATCACCATCACATCTAAAGTACGCTGCAATACAGTGACCCGAATTACACTGGAATGTTCCATTTTTGCATTTGAATCCACCACATTCCATCTCATCAGTATTGTCTCCGCAGTCATCTTCGTGGTCACAACGCCATCTTGAGGATATACATTTTCCATTACCACATTTAAATTCTGATTCGGAGCACTCTCTGTACTTATGTTGGCATACAGACTCCGCTTCATCGCTTCCATCTCCACAATCATCAGTAAAGTCGCATAGCCATTGCTTAGGAATGCAACGTTTGTTTTGACAAGTGAAATCTGTTTCACTATTACAAGATGGACAATTTTCTGGCAGTTCATCGGACCCATCTCTACAATCATCCTTACCATCACAGAACAACCATTTTGGTATGCATCTGTAGTTTGATTGTCCTGGACACCGTCTCCATCCGTTAGTGCAATTTTTCTGCCTGCACATGTAAGCTGGTTCATCAGAATCATCTCCACAATCGTTATCGAAGTCACACATCCATAATTTCGGAATACAGCGTCCATTTTTGCAAGCGAATTCTGTATCTGGATTACATGGTCGATTGTGACACATTGCGGGATCTTCGTCGCTATTGTCTTTACAATCAGTATCCCCATCGCATTTCCAACTATCCAATATGCATCTGCCACTAGCTTTACATTTAAATTCAAGTAGCGGACATTCGTGGGCACATTGCGCTTCATCACTGCCATCACCACAGTCATCTGTTCCATCACAAATAGTTGCAGCTGGAGTACAGTTTGTATTTTTACACTGGAACGAGCCAGCTCTACAATGTCTAACTGGACACGTGTCAGGCTCATCAGAACCATCCTTACAATCTTTTTCACCATCACATTTCCAGAACCACGGTATACATTTTTCGTCATGGCCATTGCACCTGTGTTGGCCATCTGTACAATTAGCTATACATGTCTTCATGTCTCGAGCTAAATAGAATTGATTAGGACACGCGCATTTATGCGTGGTTGCACCTTCCTCACCATAACCCTCAATATTAAGATAGCTTGATTCATGCGGCGGCGCAATAAGGCAAAGGTGCGAGCAGCCTCCGTTGTTGTTTCCACAAGGGTTGTTATAAGGCAGCTGTCTCAGTGGGTGTACTACATGAATATCATATGGGCGATGTGTAGTGTTTCGAAGTGTAGTTAAATTTTCACCTGAGTGTTTATTTGCTTTACTTATAGCTTTAAGATTCCAATCTGTCCAGTATATTTCATCGTCGAAGAGACTAAGTGCGAAAACATGTGGAACTTTACTGCCTGATAAAACAATGTGCCTATGTCTACCTTCCAAGTCAGCCGATCCTATGTAATCTAAGTGAGCATCAGCCCAATAAATTCTATCCGTGAGGTAATCAATTGTTAAAGCATTAGGCCATGCAATATCATCTTCCCAGTTTAAAATCGCTGTAAAGTTAGAACCATCCATGCCCAGTTTTCCAATGTAAGCTTGAAGGTGCCAGGAAGTGTAGTACAAGTATCCAGTACCTGGATGAACAACAATTGCTCTAGGATCAGCTATTCCCGTTTTGAGTGTCTTTCTTCTAGTTCCATCTAACTCAGCCACATCTAAATTCTTTGAGTGTCTATCTAGCCAATATATTTTTCTTCCAATCCAATCTATTGCAATACCTTCTAAGCCGTGAGAATCATGTCTAATAACTACGTCTTTAGTTGGATTTGGATCCGAGTAATCTGATCGATATATAGTTTTTGCAGACACATCAGCAAAATACATATACTTTTCTTTAATGTCAAAGTCTATAGCGACCACATTCATAAGATCTTGATGCACTAAATTATATATAGAGGCGTCTGTGGACATGTTTCTTACATAATATTTATTTGTAAATATAATCCATGCTGTAGTGTTGTCTTTTCTCTTACAGGTATGCTCATCAGCTTCTCTCTCATAGTATTGTTCATTACATTTACAGTAGTAAGATCCTGGAGTATTCGAACAGTATTGAGAACAAACGCCTGGGGTTTCCACACACTCATCTATATCGGCGCAAGCTTTACCGTCACTCAAGAGTTTATATCCTTGATTACAGTCGCAGTAATATCCAGTTATAGTGTCAATACATTTGTGACCACATTGGTTTATTTCCAGTTTGGCGCACTCATCAATGTTACAATGAGCAGGTTCATCGGAATCATCGGTACAATCAGATACTTTATTACAAACAAGTCTATTATCAATGCACTGATCATTATTACATTTAAATTGTCCTACAGGACAAGTTTTATTCTCTTTTACACATCCTACTTCATCTGAATGGTCACCGCAATCGTCTTCACCATCGCATCTGAAGTGATTTCTAATACATTTAAAGTTTTGGCACCTAAATTCCTGATCTGTACATGTTTTATATTGGGTATTACATTGTTTTCCTTCATCTGATCCATCTCCACAATCGTTATCGTGATCACAAACCCAGCCTTCATTTATGCAACGTCCATTGGTACATTGGAACTGGTCTTCAGAGCAAGGAGTAGGAGTAGAACAATGATGGATAGTTGCGTTTTCATCTGCACCATCTATACAGTCAGGGTCACCGTCACACAACCATTTCTTGGGAATACACTGAGCTCTTCCCCAGAATTTGTTCTCTTCACATGTGTATTCAGTTTCAGCATCACATTTTCTTTCATTACATTGGTGTCTATCGTCTTCGTCACTATTATCCAGACAATCATTATCTCCGTCGCAGATGTAAATTCGAGGAATACAATTTCCATTATCGCAAGTAAATAAATCACCGAAACAGGTTCTTCCTTCTGAGCGACAATACTCTGGAGGTTCATCCGCGCCATCACCACAATCGTCGTCACCATCACAATACCAAGTAGCTGGAATACATCTGTGGTTGGGACAGCGGAAACTGTTTTGTGGGCACGTTCGTTGGGCGCAATGTAATGGATCTTCATCTGAGTTGTCACCGCAATCATTATCGCCATCACAAAGCCAATATGGTTCTACACAAATATTTGTTTTTTCACATTTGAGATGGTTAGCTGGGCAAGTTGTATTTCTAGGACACATTTCGTGAGTTTCATCAGATGTAATATTGTCTTTACAGTCATTGATTCCGTTACAAACTTGTGTTTTCGGTATGCAACGTGAATTTAAACAAGTGAATTCTCCTTCAGCACATGGTGGATAAACGCAGCCTTCTTCATCCGACCCATCCTTACAATCATTTTCATGATCACATTTCCAAGATTTAAATATACAACGGCCGTTATTACACCGGAACTCATTAGGCGAGCACGAGTGATATGCACAGTAATTTTTGTCTTCATCTGAATTATCTCCGCAGTCGTCATCTCCATCGCAAGACCACATCCTACTTATGCATTTTCCATTAGCGCAGAAGAATTTGCTAGGATCGCAGGTGATATTCTTAGCAACACACATTCTACCTTCATTGACTAACTTAGTATTATCATCACATCTACATTCGACAGAATTGTTTGGTGCAGGATGACAACTCTGCGCACATCCTCCATTATTGATCTTACACAAGTTCTTTTGACATTTTTGCCTGCTTAAACTGTAAATATGAATATCACGAGGTGAATCTTCTAATCTCTTAACCATTTCGACCATATTAGCGCCGGTGTGTTTTTCGGCTCTATAAACACCTCGTAGCTGTAGATCAGTCCAGTAAATATAATTTCTAAAAACAGTAATAGCAAATGGATATATTGTAGCAGAAATCAATACCTCACGATCTGTTCCATCTAATTTAGAGCGTTCTATTTTTTCTCGAACAGCATCAGTCCAATATAGCATATTTTCATCAAAATCAATCGTGAGTCCACTAGGCTGCGATAGATCTTTATCAATAACAGCCTTTTTAAGAGATCCAGCCATTGTAGTTCTGTAGATTTTACCAGACGTACCGAATCTTCCCCAATCGGTGTAATAAAGTGTTCCGTTACATGGATCTACTACTATAGCTCGGGGGCGTTCTACTCTAGCAATCATTACCAGTTCTGTGCCGTCTAAGTTCATTGCGTAAATAGAATTATTAGAACTGTCTGTCCAATAAATTTTCTTTTGAGTCCAGTCATATGATATACCTTCTGGATTAATATTCTTGTTAATAATATTTTGTATTCCTGACGCATCCGGATTATTCGCTGACATCCAAGCGATTCTCGCCCAAGGCCTGATTTGTGTAAAGAATAACTTATTATCGGCGTAATCAAATTCAACACCTACAACATTTGTAAGATTGCCGATAGGTTTGAATGGGACTCCAGTAGATTTAGGATCTAAGTTTACTGCGCGAATTTCAGTTCTGGTAGTAAACACTAAGTATTCATCAACCACATCGCATTTTTTTGGATTACTTGCAGATACTTGACCGGTTGCACATTCGCAACGGTGTGTGTAGCCTTTGTTAGCTTCTGGAGGATAACTGAAGCATAGTTGATCGCATCCACCGTTTCCAAGTTTTCTGCATGGATTATTTTCATCTGTTGGTTGATTGTTTATGTCGAATATTACGATATCTCTTAATTTTGGCAAGTTAGTACGCACTTTTTCTGGCATTGACATATTGCCGGGTAATTTAGAAGCTTTATAAATTGTTTGTAGGTTTCTGTCAACCCAGTAAACACTCCCAGTATGTATAGCAATACCCATAGGATTTGGTAAATTAGATCTAATTAATTGTCGATTGCCACCGTTATAAGATATTTTTTGTATTTGATCCAGTTTTGAATCAACCCAGTATACATCATGTGTTAGCATATCAATTGTTAAATCTTTGGGATTAGATATTCCCGAACTCACAACGGTCTGCCAGTTACTGCCATCAAGATAAGCTTTGCCGATACGAGGATATTGGCCGTAATCTATCCAATAAAGCAATCTCTTCAAGGGGTTAACGGCAAGTTCCCTTGGTGCATCCATAGTAGTTTTTACTATAACTTTTCGATTGGAACCATCAAGCCATGACATTTCAACATAGTTTTCATGTGGAAATACGTTAGTAAAGTACAAATTGCCAGCCACCCAGTCAATCGCCAAGCCTCGTATACCGTTGCTTCCAATTCCATCTTTTATCACGTGTTGCAGCTCTGATCCATTAGGTCGAATACGGAATATGCCATTATATTGTCCTCGATTGAACTCCACCCAATATATATAATTTTCTGCGAAATGAACATCAACATGAAGTATATGATGGCCCTGTCCAGTGACTGGAACCATAGCTTCAGCACTAGATTCAAGACTGTAGCCTCTAATAAGATCTAACTGTGACACGACTGCAAACGTTTTATATGGAACACAATTTATTTCATTTTCCTTTCTGTATCCAACAGAACAAGCGCAAACTCTAGAACCACCTTCGCTGGGGATGCAAATTTGTTCACAGCCGCCATTATTTTGAGCACAAGGGTGATGCATCATTTTTCTTTTCTGGAATATTGTTAAAGATTTCAAATCACTTTCATTGTCCAGTATAACTTTAATGTTATCACCATTTGGTAAATCAGCCTTAAATATTTTTTCATGTCGTGTGTCAAGCACGTACAGTCTAGAATCGAGTACGGCGATCACTTTAGGGTATGAGATAGCATTAGCTTCTGTTAAAATAGTTTTTCTGTCATTTCCTTCTGTGTTGACGCTGTTGATGCTGGCTGGGTACTGTGTGCTGAAGTAAACAATCTTTTTGTCAATATCCACCGTAATAGCTTCTGGTCTTTCAATTGTATCTACAAGGATTACAGGATTACTTCCGTCCATGTTAACTTTTCCAATTTTTGCTGGCACTCCATAACCGCCATCGTCAGACCAATAGATTTTTCTGAAATGAATGAAATCAATATTAAATGAAATTAAAACGACTTATTACATTGTCATATTTGTTCAAATTAAATATCTCTCCAACGGGAAATAAAGTAAACATAAGTTCAAGTCCGTTTAGGTTTTTTTATTCGTAATAATTCTAATAAATAAAATGACAACTTACCCTTCGGTAGGATCTAAACAAAGTCCCTTAGGCTTTGCGACTGAAGTTCTACTTCCATCATTAGCAAATACAATAGACCTGTATTTAACTTTGCCATCTACTCTCACCAATTCAATATTACTGGCGGCTTTGTTTGCCATAAATAGGTTGCGTCCGAGCCAGTCGAATGCGATGGCGGAAGGCGACCCGACTACGCCTGTGTCTTGTCCCAAGAACTCAACTTTATTGCCACCGCCATAAGGCATACTATAGATGGTGCAGTTTTCGTCGTCCTCGTTGTCGCCGCTGATGGACTGCAGCCAGTACAGCATGTGGCCTTGCCGGTCGTAATCCAGTTGCACGCCGCCTGATATCAATAAGTAATCAATGCATTATCGGTAATACTCTTCAAATACGCAGCTGTTTTACTGAAATGAACTTAGCAATAAAATTATGAAGAATGATATTTATTTTTATATTATAATTTTACCTTGTATACCGACAACTGGAGGCAACTGTCCAGCTCTTCCAGAACCATCTGTCGACAAGTCTATGATTTGGGATCCCTTCAGCACCATCAAGTACGCATTTTCCTCTAGAAAGAACAATATATTCTTCATTAGAAACGATAAGCCAAAACAAGAAACTGAATTTGTTCATTTTATTATACCAATAATTTTACTTAAATAAGACAATATTTGATTTTTAAATTTTTCATTTTAATAGATAGATGTATTTATATATTTTATTACCTTCCACACATTTTCCGTCCGGTAACAACTTGTATCCTGGCTTGCACATACAAGTATATCCCACAGTACTATTTGGACTCAACAAGCAAAGGTGCTGGCAAGAATCTTTCTTGCAAGGCGATGGATACTGCGGCTGCAGCGACGGGTGGTGCACGTGGATAGACAGCGGCTGCGATATCAGATGAGACACAACGGTTTGATTCGTGCCTCTAAACTTGTGAGCAGAGAGTACTCTATTTAACTGCCGATCCGTCCAGTACAAAGTATCTTCAAATAAGGTAAGCGAATGCGGATGTAGGAGATAATGACTTCCAGCCAACACTTGCTGTCGCCCTGAACCGTTATAGTAACAGAAATCAATAAAGTCCAATTTAGAATCAGCGAAGTACACTCGCTGCGTGGCTGTGTCCAGCGTGAGTCCGTTGGGCCAGTAGATCTTGGTGGTGATGATGGCCATGCGCTGGGAGCCGTCCATGCCCACGCGCTCGATGCGCGGGTTCTCGCCCCAGTCCGTCCAGAACAGCCAGCGCGCGTCGGGCGCGGGGTCCAGGCACATGCCCCTCGGCTGGGTTATGTTTCCGCTGAGCAGAGCTGTTCTAGCGCTGCCGTCTTCCGTCGCCACTTCGATGCTATTCAATTTGCTGTCCAACCAGTAAATATTTCCGCCGATCCAATCGTAAGCCAATCCTTCGACTAAGTCTAGCCCGGTTGAAATTATGACTTGAGGTTCAGTGCCGCGATCTAATCGAGATATTTTCTTAAGCTTCATATCGGACCAGAATATTGTACCAGTGTGCATGTTCGATGCGGTCGCCACAACGTTTTCAACATTGATCGGCACTCTTTCCAGTCCTTGCTCGTTGAGATCCGCTACCAATATTGAATGTCTGTTAGAAATTATGAGGAATGCACTGGAGTGGTTATTTGCTTTGCATGTATGTTTGTCCCCTGAGAGCTGGTAGCCTTCAACACAGCTGCAGAAGTAGGATCGTTTAGTGTTGGTACATTTTTGTGAGCAAAGTCCGGGAGGATCACATTCGTCGATGTCCTTGCAAGTGAAACCGTCAGCTTCTAGTTCTTCTCCGCTTGGGCACAAACAAAGGGGACCGTCGGGCGTCTGTTTGCAGTCGTTTGAACAAAGACTTGAGGAGTGTTGGCATGTTGCAAAATCACATCCTGGACCTAAAAGTAACATGTTAGATTTAGTATTAAAAGAACCTTTTAAAATTAACTGATTTTTTTTTGTTTCAAATGGTTTAATTATGTACCTTCATCAGCACCATTGGGACAGTCGTAGTTATTATCACACACTTGAGTCAAATTAACACATCGGTTAGTGACACCTGGACATTGCCATTGTCCAGATGGGCATCTGTAAGAAAAAGTACAAGTTAATATTAAATCGTAGAACTGTATACATTATACAGATGTATGTATAACTTACATATATCGCTTGATTTTAGAATTTGTTGCTGCAAAGAAGGGAGACTAGAGCGGAGTTAGACTAGGAGGAGAAAGGGGAGTTAAAGTCACAGTTATGCATTTATAAAGATCAAAGAATCTAGCTAACTGTGTAATAGACAATAAAGTGTATCGCGCGTGCAAACGCTATTAAATGCATCTTCGTGTTCCTTTTATTTTTAGAGTTCGGTGGGACGACTTAAGGGCTATGAAAAGAGAGATTATCCAATGGAATATCTAACTGCTAAGTTAACTTCCCGACTTCCATCGCTACACAGAATTTCGCGATCGAAAATTATCAAAGATTTTTTTGACACAGGATATTCATCTCTCTGGTGGTTTATTAGTACAGATCGTTGGGCGAGGAGCAGCGCGCCGCGTACCTGAACTTGGGCGGGCTGCAGGCGTGGCGCGCGCCCTCGTCGGAGCCGTCGCCGCAGTCGTCGCGGCCGTCGCACACGTAGGCTCGGAACACGCAGCGCGCGTTGTCGCAGCGGAAGTGCCCGGCGCCGCACGCCGCGGCGCCGCACGCCGCCGGCTCGTCCGACAGGTCCTCGCAGTCCGGTGTGCCTGCGCGCGGACGCACACGTATATTACTTATTCGTTCAAATTTACATATTATAATTAAATAGTAAACACTAGAAGTAGGAGCTTTTAACGCCCAGACTTCGTCTCCGAAAAGTAAGTGAATTCATCACGTACCTATTCCACATATTATTATGTATATAATAAAATATTATAAATTGCAATTGATTTACCTTTTCGACAATTTAAAGATAAAATTAAAAAAATATTACTTAATCAAATATATTATTCTGTTTAGAGTTTCGTATTAATAAAAATGTGTAAAATGAAGTAAAATTGATTCGCATGCGGATTAGCAATAATATTGTATTAAATACTGTAACTTGATCTTTAATGAAAAGAGCAACTGTTGAGTTTCTGTTGAGTTAACCAAATACTTACTGTCTTTAAATTAAATTAATAATTCAAATATAGTTTAATAATCCTATTTCAATAAAGTTTTTTTTGTTATAAAAAGACCTAACTTTATATTTTGAGTCGTCAAAAACCTTATATCTTTTTTACGTAACCATGATTTTATAAAACGCTTTATAGCAATCAATACACGAAACGTCGGGAAACAAAAACCAAAATAAATTGTCAAAAAATAGTTTCTGTTGATGTAATATGTCGGAGCAGAGACGGGGGAGCACTCACCGTCGCAGTACCAGGTGCGCGGGATGCAGAGGCCGGAGGAGGCGCACTGGAACTGGCGCTCGGCGGCGCACTGGTGCGGCGCCAGCGACGGGCAGCCCGCCTCGTCCGACCCGTCGTTGCAGTCCGGGATGCCGTCGCACTTGTACGCCTCCTGCCGACGATACGTGCACCATTATATCATTCATACTCATACATAAAGAAAAAAACTAATAATCAAAACCAACAACTAACTCGAATATAAGCAACGGCTCAATAGATTCTCTAATCTTGCACCAAATATTTAACTACAATCATCCGAATACAAGTATTGAAATGCGAAAGTAACATAACATACGAGTACACACACATACGTATGTTTGAACTGGTTCATATTGAAATAATTAGACGGGTTTGCATTAAATACAGATAGACTATGGAGGTAGGTAGACCTGGAGTAGCAAATAGGCTACCGTTCGTACGCCGGGAGGGTGGTGAAAGCGGGTGCACTTACGCCCCTATGCCATGAAGGAAAATTATAGGAAAAAGTTGAAGAAATAAAATTGTATTAGTAAAACCTATATTTAAAAAATATAATGTTAATCATTTAAACTGTTAATCATTTAAAATGAATAAATTTATAATGTTAATCATTTAAACCTAAAGATTAGTTAGTAGTTTAATGTGTAGAAGCAGATGCACTCCCCTGGAAATAATTCTACCGCCGCCCATACTACCATTAGTCATCTAGGGATGAAGCTGGATAAAGTGAAGGTAAATGAGTAATCTTATTTTGAACTAACCTGCACGCACTGCTTCAGGTCGGCGCACTTGAACTGCGAGGCGAGGCAGGAGACCGGCGGGCAGTCGGCCTCGTCCTGCTTGTCGAAGCAGTCGTCGTCGCCGTCGCACACCCACGACGCCGGGATGCAGTGCCCCGTGCGCGGGCACGTGAACTGCGGCACGACATACCATACTTATTAGTGCTCGGCTATATTGCTATGATAACGCTTCAGTGAACTTACTAACATGAATATGTGAATAGAAGCCAATAATCTATACATATTATAAAATTCTAAATATTTTATTCAGCATTAAATTATTACAATTTTTTACTGAACGTCATGAATCTACTACCAGTTCGGAAAAAAGTAGCCTCAGACCTGAAAATAACTGGCGAAAGAAAAAATTTAAAATCTGTGTAAATTATATCTTTTTTGGAAAATCTTATTGAAATATTCATTATTATCGAACAGAAGCTGAATCTATATTTTTTTGAATTTTTGTGTTTGTCTGTTTGTGACCACATGACGAGAAAACCACAGGACATATTTTGATGAAAATTGCTGAGATGATAGCTAATTATCCGGGTCAACATAAAGGATAATTTTTACTGCGGGAAAATATCCCATTTCTGAGAAACCTATACAAAGCGTTAAAACTTAAGTAGGGACGAACCCGAGCCTAGCAAAGGTGATTCGATAGTATATTATAAAATATATAGCTTATATTTTATTGTTATTTAACAAAGTGTGAATGCAGCAATATAAGTAACCTGGAAGTAGGCGCAGGTCTTGTCGGCGCAGTGCGCGCCCTCGTCGGAGCCGTCGCCGCAGTCGTTCTCGGAGTCGCACTTCCAGGTGTTGGGGACGCAGCGGCCGTTGGCGCAGCGGAACTGCGAGGCGCTGCACGTCACGTTGCCGCAGCCCGCCTCGTCCGAGTAGTCGCCGCAGTCGTTCTCCGAGTCGCACTTGAACGTGGCCGGGATGCAGCGCCCCGACTTGCACATGAACTCCGAAGCGTTGCACGTCGTTTCTGAAAGTTTCATAATCATTTTTTAAATATTAATATGTAGTACAATATATGTAGAGTAGTGCATAGTATAGTGGATATATGGAAACTCGGAATGCCCGAAGATGACTGAAGACCAATAGACTAGTCAATATTTTGATTCAAAGATATGCTTTTTTTCGTCATCTATAGACGTGTTACATAATGTATTACACATTATCTATTATTTTCAATTCGTATTTTATACTTAAATACTTACACTAGCGACTCACCCTCACTTCGCTCGGTTTGATTCCTCATACAAAATTTTCATCCCTATTTTCATCCCCTTTAAGGTATGATTTCCGAGATAAAAACTATTCTATGTCCTTCCCAGGGCCTCTAACTATCTTCTTACCAAATTTCATCTAAACCGGTTTAGTAGTTTCGGATTCAGTACAAACAAACAAACAAAAAATCTAATGTTTCCTCTTTATAATATTAGTATAGATGTATGTATGTGTATAGTTGTGTCCTGCAGTCATTTCTTGGCATCATCGTGATCGAGACCTACGACATAATCTCTAAAAAAAAGTCCTACGATTTGCCTGCAAAACACAACAACGTAACGCATACTTATTGTATACACTGTTATACTCCTAATACTAACTATAATTTTACACTATATTAAAATCTGTCACAAAACATATAAAAGATACTACTTACTGGTACAATTCTGTTCTTCGTCGCTGTTGTCGAGGCAGTCGTCGTCTCCGTCACACACCCAGCTCTTGGGGATACATCTCTGGTTGTTGCAGGTGAAGTCCCACGTGTTGGGGCAGGCCTGCACCGGCGGCTCCGAGTTCGGGTCCGCGATGCAACTGGTGCCGTCTGGCGCCAGCTTCTCCCCATACGGACATCCACACTTGACAGTTAACAACTCCGTATTATTCCTTGGAACGGCGAAGCAGAATTTCTGACAGTTACCATTATTTCTAGCACAAGGTTGCATAGGATCTATCTTCTGTATACCTTCACTGTATACTTTAACACCATAAAGCCTATTCGTTTGAGGTTCCCTCACCATGATGTCTTCTTGCTCGCCGGTCAACTTGTGCAAGCGAACAATAGCGTCTAGTCTCCAATCAGTGATGTACATAAAATCTTTATAAATAACAATTGAGAAAGGATGTCTAATAAGTCTCGAATTAACTGTTTTAACGTCTGTACCATCTAAATTAGCGTGTTGGACGTGGTCCAACAGAGCATCGCACCAGTAAACTCTGTTTGCATCAAAGTCTATAGACAGCCCATTGGGCCAACCTAGAGTAACATTTTCGAATACTAAAAGGCCAGTGCCGTCTGTGTTAGCTCGACTAATGTTAGCCGGACGATCCCATTCCGAGAAGAAAATGTATCCTTTATTAGGGTGTACAACGATCGCTCTCGGTCGTTTCAAGTGTTTTAATAAAGTTCTTTTATACGCAACATTTCTAGTAGACAGCACATTCAGCGTTCCCTTCCTGGAATCGATATAGTATAAATTCTTTGAAGCCCAGTCTACAGCTAACCCTTCAACTCCTTCATTTTGTGAAGCCAAAACAATTTCCCTTGTAGTTCCATTTCTGTGTACTCTATAAATAACGTCTTGTAGAACATCGGAGTAGTAAATATGTTCGTCTCGGGCATCAAAATCTAAACCTACGAATCTTGCTCTCTTTGATACAACAGGTAGAATAGCATCGCTAAATCCTTCGATAACAGGGTCCAAGACCTTACCCTTTATGAACCTTTGTTGGGAATACATAAGAAATTCGCTTACAATATCACAGTTTCTTAAATCTGTTTCTAATCTATATCCGATATTACATGCGCACCGGTAGCCAAGTCCGCCATTTTGAAGAGCCGTGACTATACACATTTGGGAACAACCACCATTATTGTTCCCACACGGGTTATTTACTGAAGTTTGTTTTAAAGAGTGAACAATGGTTATAGCTTTCGGTTCTCTGATATCTTTCGTTTTGTATATCGCTTGGATACTTGTGGAACCCTCGTATTTGTTTACTGAACTTATGCCTTGCTTAGTGCTGTCCGACCAATACACACGGTCTTCAAACAAGGCTAACCTAGAAGGACTGGGCACTTGTTGGCCTCGCAATACTAAAAATCTGTAATTTCCATCATAATCGACAGTTTCTATGTAGTCTAATAGAGAGTCACACCAGAATATACGTCTCGATATAGTGTCTACTGATATACCAGACGCTTTGTATGTCGCTTCGGATACTATAGATTTAGCGTGTGTTCCGTCCATGTTTGCTCGGATGATCTGAAAATACAAGTATATGTAGTAAACATACTGTATGATTATAAACATGTCTCCCATCATTCATATCATAGAAAAATAATAAACAATGCGCAAGTTTAAGTGATGCTGAAAGTATTCAACTCACCTGACTGCTGTCAGCGACGAACATCAACCCCAGCGTGGGGTCCAGAGCGATGTCGGCGGGGTTGGTGAGGTTGGAACCGAGCACGACGGCGTGCCAGCGGCCGTCCAGCTCGAACACGTCGATCTTCTGCCCCATGGCGTCGGCCACGTACAGCTTGTCGCCGACCCAGTCCACGGCCAGCGCCACCGGCGTCCACGACCCCGCCACCGACACGTCGCTGGCGGCGAGGCTCGGCACGCCCGCCAGCGCGTCCAGCGGCTGCGAGTGGATCTGCGGGCGGGCTTGGTTTTACATAAACGGGTAATATGTTCAATATTACCAAAAACCTCTTAAATGGCATTAACTATTATCGGCAACATAATATGGCAAATAATTCTTACTTTACAATTTAGAAGCATAAATGAAAAATATGTGTATCTCTTGATCTTATCCTATTGCTAGTACAAATTGAAATAAAATATGTTTTCCCGGAATGTAATAATTTAAAACTAAAACTCGGAAACAAAAAAGAGACGGCTCACCTTCCTAGTTTTGGAGTCGGACCAGAAGAGGCGGTTCCGGCGGTAATGGTAGTCGAGGCCGGCGGCGGCGGAGGCGTTGGCGAGCGTGGCGGCGGAGCGCCCGCCCAGCTCCAGGCGCAGCACGCCGCGCTCGTGCGCCAGCGCCAGCCACGCGCCCTCCGCGCGCGCGCCGCAGCGCCCGCCCTCGCCCGCCACGTAGCCCGGCGCGCACGCGCACGAGTACGCTGTGAGACATCACACATTATACACACATTATATACATATTATATAGGCTAAAATGCGGCCGCGCATACCCACATGACATATCATACGGGTGGTTGATGTGAATCTATATATGTCGCAGGGAAATTGTAAGATCCGTTAAATTATAATTTCACTAGTGAAATTATTATAATCCGGAGTTTTATCATTTGCCTCCTTTTCTTATCATGGAACAATTTTAGATAAATTATAGTTTACGCGAAGATAAGTCGCTAATATGTTTATATGTACATAAATGTCAAAATGTTAATTTTATAAGGATGCAATTTTAAAATTTGACTGATTTGACTTGATTTTATTACACCAAATTATTTAATAAAATTTCATATTATCATATTATCATTTCTATTATCCATAAATAACGTTAAATATATATATTACGCTATATTATATCTCGTATTAATGAAAAAAATTCAAATGAGAAATAGTAGGTCTTAAAAAAATTATGAGTAAAGTAATTACTCGTATAAGTAAGTAAAGATTTTTGTAGATTTTTTTACTAAACTTTTCTTAAGTAATCATTAAGCTTATATTTTAATAGAAATTACCAAAATAACTCATTTTCAATTTCATCAGATACATTTGGATGAGTAATAATATCCAAATTGAAAACATCCAAAAGCAATGAGGACTTACAGCCAGGCGTGTTGATGCAGAGCTGCGAGCACGGGCCCCACTCGCGGCATTCGTCGCGGTCCACGCACGTGCGGTTGTCGGGCGCCAGCGCCAGGCCGGCGCCGCACGCGCACGCGCCGCCCGCCGGCGACGCCACGCACTTGTACTCGCACTCCAGCGCGGGGCACGACAGCGTCGCTGAAATGCCAAGGTTTTGTTGTTATATGAATTTGTTTATTTTATTTGGGAAACAAACGGCACAAAGTAATACAATATAAAAAAAAAACAAAATATAAAACATCGACCAATCAAGTTTCCACATTAATGCGAACAAAATAATAAGTAATATTGCTATGGAACCACGGATAGATGTCACATACGGTGGCTTTTTAGTAATCTATTGACCAATTTATCAAGCAATCATTTTAACCTAGATGGTGATAGAATATGAATTCGCATAATTATACTATCTTATTTTTATGCCAATATTTGACATTTTAAACGAACTATTTGGCAGTTTTATTTTTATTTTCGATTCCTGACATTTTGAATTAAGTGATCCGGACCATGGTGTTTCTCGTCATTTTTTTTTCAAAAAAATAGTTTTCTTTAGAACATAAGTTCGCTTCTTGGATTCATTGGAAATAAACGCTATTTAAAAATGAAATATCAGAATTAAAAAACACAAAATTTCACTACATAAATAGTTATTGATAGGGATCGATTAGGGTCTGATAATAATATTAGACCATTGGATTATTATAAAAAGTAACTCACAGCAAGCATTTTCTTCATCCGCGTTATCTTCGCAATCTCTCTTTCCGTCACAGAGCTGAGACCTGGCGATGCACTTGTGCATGCCCCCCGGCCCGCCTCGGGGACACAGGTACTTGTTGTCAGGACACGCGATGGCGGTACAGTTGGCCTCGTCGGAGCCGTCCGCACAGTCCTTGTAGCCGTCGCAGTGGTAGGTGGCGGGGATGCACAGAGCATTGGTACAGCGGAACTGACCGACGTGGCATGGTGGGAAATCTGGAGAAATATTTATTTACTGGTACCATATATTTTTCAATGAATCGATCTGACTAAAAAAATCATACGTAATCTTTAACCTCATTAGCAAACAAACGAGGAAGAAAATTTTTAAGCATATTCATCCGTGTTTAGGCTACTAATATGAAATTGGTTTACAACTTATGCGTTTCGATGAGTTTAAATCTTTTGTTAGTCTTTCATCTATCATTAAACTAGATTTAGAGAGATACTCGTAGCTTGAGATGCCCGCATTAAACGGACGGATCATCCATTCGTACCATTTAACGACACGCATATACCTAAATCCCCAAATAAAAATGAGTCTGTACTATTGTCAAAGATATGTTATGACATATCCTTAGCATATACCATATATCATAGTGTACATACTACAAGCTAATTCATCGCTATTATCGCCGCAGTCGTCTTTGTGGTCGCACTTAGCGGACTCGTCCACGCACTTGTCGCCCGACGCACACCGGTACTGGTCCAGGCGACACGTTATCGTCTGCCCAGGGCAATCCTGTTCGTCTTTGCCTGTCCTACAATCTAGATACCTGAAAATAATTAATATTATTTATTTTTTTTACTATTTCTAGGAAATTTCGTCTTATTTTAAAGTAGTTCTTTATCGTTAAAGTGTTAGCTTAGCGTTCTTTCTGTTTTAGCGTAAAAAATCTATGTCAATTAAGCAATCCATCATCAAAAATGGCAGAAGGAAAGATAACAAGTTCGATTACAAGACTTTTTTAAATAAGCTCTAACTTGAATTGAAAGATTAATAAAAATATTATTTTTTTATATACTATATATATAATAATAATAATAATAATAATACTCTTTATTGTACACCAAAGAGAAAAATACGTACAGACAGTTATTAAAAATTAACAAAGATGCACAGCAGGCGGCCTTATCGCTTAAAGCGATCTCTTCCAGGCAACCAACTACCAGGTAAAGGAGAGTGTGAGAGAAATGGTAGGCGGTGTACTTGCTATACGATATAATTATACATACATACAATATAAATAGATAAACATAATACACATACACATACAAACGTACATACATACATATATACATACATACAAATATAAAAACGTACAATACACATACATACTATTTTATATACATACGTACCTACAAATATATATAGTTATAGATACAATTAAATATAAAATAATATATATATATATATATATATATATATATATATATATATGTGTGTAAGTCAATTGCCTTTCGTTAGTCTCGCTTAAACTCGAAAACGGCTGGGCCGATTTGAATAATTCTTTTTTTTTGTTTTGTTGGGGGTGTGTCAGGGGTGGTTATAGTATAAAAAATAGGGAAAACCCCAAAAAAATAGCTGGAAAATTGAAAACTTCAGAACTGTTATTTTGTACCTACGTATATATAATATATCGTCTGTCTTTTCCGTAGTAACCGTTAAAACGTATCTAGTGATGAGCCCGAGCGAAGCGAGGGTGAGTCGCTAGTATAATATATAATTAATTGATAAATCTTTTATGTGATAGTTTTGATGATTCAGTATTAAATATGTTATTTGCAAGTATCTGAACAATATTTACCCGTCACATTTCTTCTCTTTGGGTATACACGGTCCCTGCGTCGATATCTTGCTGGAGCCAATACCCTCCATGCCGCATTGGAAGTCTTCCGTTTGGCATTTGCGGTATGCTGGAAAAATATAAAAAAGAAGTTTTCAAACCTATTATCACTCGATTTCTTATTTCTTTCTCATTTTTAAATATTCTGAATCTCCGCAGACTAACTTGAAAATTTTGAGCCAAGAACATATCGAAAGTAGCAACTATCATCAAAATCCATAATTATATTTCAAAAACTCTGCCGAAATAAATTCTGCCAAAATAGTATTAGAAGAATTGAGTTTTGTTCTTATTATACAGCTAAACATATAAATGGAGAAAACCATTTTCGGGCCCTGAAAATACCTATTCTTTTTAGTATTCCATTTAAAACTTTAGCTTAATTTGCAACGGCCAAGTTAAGAAAAAATGCATTTTTCGATATTACTTCTATAAACGAATGTTATATCTTATTTTTTTTTAAAACACATCAATGTCTTTATAAATGAAATGATTTTATAGAACGGTTCCATTAAAAATTATGATCAATATCTTTAAAACCCGGTTTTACTAACTTAGCCACCGCTGGAGCCCATGAAGATTGGCCTTATGACGCTTTTCTCAATGTATCAATTTATGGTTAATTTTCAAGCCTGTATCACCTAAACCCCAGATTGTATGAGGATTGGTTTTGTCTTTTGTAAAGTAAAAATAATAATAATTAGATGAAATTAAATTCTTATTCAGAAAGAAAATATTAGAGCACAAACGCATGATTTCTTTCATGTTAACACTTCCTTTAGCTGGTTTTTAATTTTCTAAAAAGTTCACATTATCCTTACAAAGGAGTTTCAACAAAAGAGTGCAGGACATTATTTTAATTTAATAATATTGCTAAGCGGGATGTGAACGAAACGTTAGTTTTTACGAGAAATTGCCCCGAGGCATAGCCCGAGCTGTAGGATAATGCGATTTTCATACAAACTTATGTAAAACCTTCAATAGAACCCCTTTGAGAAGTGCGCTCGGATCGCAACCTGTTTATATGGGAGTCTTTGTTCATTTTTAATACATTTTAAAATAGCAGAATACCTAGTGGTTTAGTGGTAGTGTCTGATAATTATGGCCATGTGGCATAAGTCGTGGATTCATATTGAGGAATTAAGTGTGGAAAGAACATTTGATGTCTCAGTTATAAATTAGATGACTTATAATACTACTAACTAAACTTGCTTCGCTCGGGTGCATCCCCAGTAGTACTACCCTAGTGCAAACAAACAAACATTCACATTCATAATATTAATCTAATAAATTTATTGTTAGTAAGCTTTAGAAGACTATCATAAATACTAATATAGTCTGAATATATAATTTTATTTCTTCGAGGTGGCATTAGAGAAAATTGTAGGTATAGGTTAGGTTGCTTGACAAATGTTTGCGAATGTATGTACTTAGGTTATACTCCTCAAACATTGCTTTTGTTCGTGTGGATTTATGGCGTAAATATGTAAAGCTACGGTAAGCCTAAGTTAATCTTGACGTAGTTGTTTATCTATGCATATAATAAAATTGTAATTAAGCCGAATCTGTACATTAAATATTTTTTCGAAAAATTTTTTGAAATAATATCGATACAGAGGCCGAATCTATAGTTTTTAGAATTTTTGTGTCTATCTGTCTGTCTGTTACCGGATCACAGAAAAACCACTGGAGGGATTATGATGAAATTTGGTATGGTCATAGCTGGTTATCCGGGTCAACATATAGGATACTTTTTACCGCGGGAAAATATCTCATTTCTGAAAAAAAATACAAAAACTGCAATGTAAGAGTGTACTAATATTATGTAGAATTTGGTTTTTGGTCATCTGAACGCGGGCGGAGCCGCGGGTAATGCTAGTTAATAATATAATATTAAATTAAGAATTAGTGCTGCCGGCAATTTTGCCTGACTTAATTTCTAAATATGTATAAATAAATACTTTCTTAGATTTACGCAAATATTTGACATTTTAAATAAAACTATCTTTTCGGATTTTTTCGCGGATTTATTTTGATTTTTGGTTCCCGAAGTTTCGAATGCTTCTATAAATAAAATTAAAATATCCGTCCGTGACCGCGAAATTCTTTCTGTAACGTACAAGGCTCTAATAGTTATTTATTATTCACAGACTTTTTAAAGGAACAAGTGCTTGATTCTTCTAAGTTATTTAAACCTTGGAATCTTTTTTCATTCATAATCGTAAGTTAGGTTTTTTATGATAAACTGAATGCACTTCATTACTAACTGTGGGGACAAGAAACAGTTTGACTAAATTTTTAGTTTAACTTTAATAGGTTTTCATGGAAGCTGTTTAAAAATTAATTTTCAAAATTTACATTTTACATGTCTTAGTTTATAATATAGCAGGATCTAACATCCGTTACAATACGTCTCATTTCCCATGATATGGACGCAATAGGTTGCATCACGATATGACCGGAGTCCGGCGCGGCGGCAGCGGGGCGTGAGGCGTTTCCGCGCCACTGAAACCTGCACTGTAATATGTCGCATTTAACTGCCTCGTCGATCTGTGTGTATGGCTAGATTGTACGGCTGCAGACCTGGTCCCGGGTTCCAGTCTTGGATCGGACAATTTAGTCATTGAATATCTTTATCAAAAATTCAGTGGAGTGGAACTCGCGCTTCGCATAGATAGTTGCCTAAATTATAGTTGTAAGTATATATATATATATATATATATATATATATATATATATATATATATATATAACCACTACATACACTTTTTTAAATACATATGCACATTGTACATATGTATTGTATTTATGTATGTATGTATGTATGTACAATGTTCATATGTATTTAAAAAAGTGTCCACAGTAAAACAAATGTTTTAAAGGAAATCAACTAGCACGGGGGGTGCCTACAACTTTGTACAAACAATTAAATACAGACCAAGTTACTTAATAGAGTTTAGAGTTAGTAATTCTTTGAAACGTCATACTATTACACCGAACACAATACACGCGTCGGAGCTTACTTCGGTGTAAGACGTGCTGTTTCCGTCCCACTGTTATCCGCATTGTTCTATAATTAATATATCAACGTTTCTATATTTGATATATTAAATTAAAAGGCAAACGAGGAATTGTATTCAGCCCTTTTCAACGTCCCACTACTGGGTACGGGGCTACCTTCAATACGAGGGGGGATCAGGCCGTAGTCCATCACGCTAGCCAAGTGCGATTTAGCGGACTTCACATGTCTTTCGAAATTCAACAGATTCAAATCCCGGGTCTCGTACCACTGATATCTTCACATGCAAATCATTTCCAACATGATTACCACTTGTCTTACGGTGAAGGAAAATATCGTGAAGAAACCTGCTTGTCTGAGAGAACCTAGCAAGCGAAAGACATGTGAACTTCGCCATACCGCACTTTCCTGATCCCATCATATTGAAAGGATGCCCGTGCCCAGCAGTGGGACGTTAAAAAAGGACTGAATACATAATAAAAAACATTAAAGTACTAATATACTTTAATTTTGTTAGATAGCTTAATATACTTAAGTAACTTCGACTATAGTCTAAAGTAATTTAATTTACTCTTCCTTTAACAAGACCTTTCGTAGAGTAAGTTACTAACAATTCTTTATTATATATACCATTTCTGGCTCTTTGACGAAATGATTTATCGTAAATGTAGCTATGTTTGTATGCCAGTTATCTCATTAAACATTCTCAGTTCATAGCGCTGTACTTCAAAGTACAAAGATATAATAGGCACATTAAGCAACACTATGCTTTCTTATGTAATGTCTGTGCTTACATCAAACAGCCTACAGGTACAACTCTAATATTTGGCCTAATAGTAGTGAAGCGCGGCGTTCATCACTCAAAATTTACTTTTATATAATACTTTCTTAGATTCATGTGAATATTTGACATTTTAAATAAAACTATCTTAACGGAAAATCACAATAAATCCGTGAGTAAAATTCGAAAACATATATATATATTTTAAATTATACATAGCAACAGACAGACAGCGGAAAGCGACTTTGTTATATACTATATAGTGATTCTCTCTTTCAGGTTTATGCATACAAAGCTTTACATTATTTAAGATTGTAAAAAGCACAATTAGAAGTCGTTAAGTGAACTGTGGAATCAATGCAATTTATTAGTTTATTTCCAGTCATTTAAGTGATGCCAACAAACAGACAAACGAATGAAAAGAATGTTTGTTTATACAAATGATAATAGTAGCATATGTATAGGTATTATATTTTTACTAGCAACTCACTCTCGCTTCGATTGAGTTCGTCCCTAAATACGTTTTAACGGGTAGTATAATTTCTCAGAGATATTTTCCCGCAGTAAAAAGCATCCTATATGTTGACTTGGATGACCAGCTATCATCATACCAAATTTTATCAAAATCTTTCCAGTGACAAAAATGCTAAAAACTATAGATTCGGCCTCGGTATCCATAATAATGACTATTTTAATAAGATTTCCCAAAAAATATTTAATGTACAGATTCTACGCAGAATTTTTATATATGTATATTTTTTCAAGTGTGCACATGAAAGTGATCTAATAAACGTTGAAAGGAGTTTCAAATAGTCCAGTAGAATTAATATTGCTGCAACAACTTGTATGACATTTTATGAATTTTAAATAGTCGATGAAGTGCACGTAAAAGGCTAATTGAGTTAAACGGTTTAAAGCTTCATTGATTCGGAATTATTACGAATATTCACGTATTTTATAGTTCCGTATATCCGGTATCGGGCTATTTCTGCTTATTTTTATGTACTTCAAAAAGGAAAAGGTACTTAGGGTGTACTTTAGGGCACTTTGTTTGGTAAATAAATACTTGTATGTTACTACACAACTAGAAAAGATGTCACACATCTTTTCTAGTTGTGATCGAAGTTTTATAATTTTTTTTAACGATATAGGTTTTAAGGAAAATACAGCTTGAGGCCATAATTCGTTCTGAAATGAATATATGGTTTTTGGATTTGATGTTGCAGTTTCCGTTTTCTTTTAAAAAAAATAATAAACAAAAATTTAGTATTTTTTATCACTTAACATTTTCTATTAAAAACAGTAAACCTCAAATAAGTTGGCCAAAGAAAGCTCCAACATGTTTATCACTTGTCTTACGGTAAAGGAAAGCTTTGTGAGAAAACTTACATGTAAAGTCCGCCAACTCGCGCTTGTCCAGCGTGTTGAACTATGGCTTGATCCCCCAAGCAATAAAGGGAGGCCCTTGCCCAGTACTGGGACGTTAAAAAGGCCTGAATATATACATACACCTCAAATAAATTGGGAATGGGGTGGATGAGAATTTAAAATTTTGTCTTTCATATTAATTTTAAAATATACAACAATTCTTCTCAATAGCGTTATTTATTAAGAATACTTGATATAGGAACTACTTTAAAAAAGCTACCATCTATGTAGATAAGTCTGAAGGGACCAACGAAGGACGCTCTTTACATAGAAATGTATGCAACCAATCTGGAGAAGATACAAACAGGACTGCGAAAGTGGTCCGCAATATACATTTGCATGATTTTACTTTGAATCAGCTCATATTTCAGAATTTTGCGACAGAAAGATGACTTCAGACAGAAATCCTTAAAATGTGAATACATAGACGAAGATTTAAAGTATAATAAAACATTCGTTCCAGACTGTTATTTATAAGACGTTGGCAAAGAAATTTCTGGAAAAATATTCTTCATTATTAATGCTATAATCCCTCGCATGTTTATTTGTTTGTACGAATATATCTTAAAAACCACTATATCCATATTAACAAGTATTCCAATTAATATATGGGAAACAACTCGATTATAGTACCAGTAACTCAACAGAACATCGCCTCCTCTTGTTCGAAATATTTTCTCCTAATGGTGCTATTCAAAAAGTGCGAAAGCAACTACCGTGAAGAAAGAATAAAATAATTACGGTCTATTATAACTTTCGACGAAACACCATTGAGCCCGCACTCGACCAGAAACAATTTGCGGGACAATAGAGGCTTTATGTGATATGATTCTATAAGTCCCTGTGTAATTTTTGGCCAAAAGAATAAGTAAGTATAACTAAAAGACGACGCGGTCAACCATGCATTTGACAGCCGTATACTTGGCATATGTCTTCTTGATACTAATGTATTATTTTTTTCTTAAATTCTATACATATAAAAAATGTTACTGAGCCGAATCTCTACATTACATATTTTTTTGGAAAATCCTACAAATAGACGTTATTATCGTTACAGAGGCCAAATCCATTATCCATAGTTTTTACAATTTTTGTCTGTCTGTATGCTTGTGACCACATCACGGAAAAACCACAGAGGGGATTTTGATCAAAATTTATAGGATGATAGCTAGTTATCCGGGTCAACATATAGGATACTTTTTACCGCGGGAAAATATCTCATCTCTGAGAAATCTATACTAAGCGTTAACGTAAGTAGGGATGAACGGAGTAACCGAGCGGAGCGAGTGTTTCGCTAATTAACTATGTATTCAGCCCTTTTTAACGTCCCACTGCTGGGCACGGGCCTCCCTTCAGCACGAGGGGAATCAGGCTATAGTCCACCACGCTGGCCAAGTGCAGGTTAGCGGACTTCACATGTCTTTTGAAAACTTGCTAGATTCTCTCAGACATGCAGGTTTCCTTACGATGTTTTCCTTCACCGTTAAGACAAGTGGTAATCATGTTGGATTTAACTATATATGACATAAATTTTTTTTTTTATTCCTTCTGATTTTATTATTAATCACTAAAATTAAATACGTAATTGGTTTTGCCTTTTTGCACGTTAGTAAGTCTTCCATCGTGTGAGGGAACAAGGGAGTTGTGAATTAAAGTGATTTTCTTCACAAAAATTTTATTTGCCTAAAACCTACGAGTATATACCTAAGTGTTTCTACCGATACTAATACACTACAATTTATTGTGTTATATTAAATGAAATAATAGATAAATATGTTGAGACATTACACACAACACCATCTAGTTCCATGGTAAGCTACGAGGCTTGTGTTATGGATACCAGATAGTTGATACACTACACATATATAACTTTCAATACATACATATTATAAATATAAACACCCACGAATGGAGTATAAACATTCGTGCCCGTCATACAAATTAATGCCCCCAGCGGGAGTCGAACCCGCGAGCGTTGGCACAGCTAAGAAAGTAGGGTCACTTCAACCTGGGCAAAACGTGTCGTTATATTGTATTTGTGGTTCCCGTGGAATAAATTTCTTACAAAAACAAGCGAGAGGTGTAATAAGGGCATTTTTGAAGAAGACACGTCGCTAGTATGTTTGAACTCTTTACATTGGGGCTGTTGATTGTTTATAATTTATATTTTGCGGTCTACAAATAGCGTATGAAATAATTACTTAGTTGTAAATTATTTTCTATGCAAGTTTTTAAATGTTTAGTAAGTTTTTATATAGAAATATTTGATATACTTGGCTCGACCCGGGACTCGAACCCAGGACCTCCGGGTGTGCAGCCGTATATGCTAGCCACTACACCACAGAGGCAGTTAAATTATTATTATAACAGTAATAAATGAAAAAAAGCATTAGAATGGTGTGTGATGATTACATTGATTGTCTCCTCTCCGAGGTAATTGATTAATTATTTTTTAATTCCTAATTAAAACTAATTAATCTATGGTGTCTAGTTAAATGGTTATCTACAAAACATTTGTATTAAGTATACATGAAAGTTCATGATGTTATTAAGATAGATAAAAAAGATCATATACTAATTAATTGGGAACTTCCATCTTTGTTTGAAGTCGGTTAAAAATGAATGAAAAAGTTAATCATAATACTGTGTCTCGGTCGGATCTGTGACAACTTCACAATTCAATCTCCAGTACATTATAAGTTGGTCGCGCTTCCGACGTATTTTACAATTCAACGTCTAAATTAGTATTATTTTAACCGGACATAAAAAGTATATACTTTCTTTTTTTATTCAAATTCTTCAGAAACTTGAAGAAATATCTCGTAGTTCTGTAATGTACAATATTTTACATTGTATTTGACAAGTCATCCATCATCATAATATTTCTAATAATACGTAAAAATGCGAAAGTTTATGTGTGTGTATGTTTGTTATTCTTAGTAGACTGGATCGATTTGGATGAAAAATACACAGATAGGCTACGACTTAGAGACTATCGACGACACGTTTGGCTCAGTTTTGTAGTGATCCTACTTGCTTTGCTTTTGATTCATTTGTGTGATGAGCACAAATATCTTTCTAGGGCTAAAATTTTAGTATTATTACTTCAAAATTAATCGTTTTATCCTAAGGAATAAATACTATGAAAGATACAAATTATTATAAGAATTTTTTTCATACGTATTGTAATGGAATTATATACATCATGTATAATTCCACTCGTTTCCAATTTACTAACACTTCGATACCGTTCGGTTTGCACAAATCAACGTCTAATCTCGGGGGAGCCAAGCTTAGAAACTACATCGAAGTTTTAATATGTTCCCATACACCGCCGGCAGCTCGCTGCTCGCTCGAACGCCCAAAGCCGATATACCCACTTAATAACTCGAACGAATTCTTTGGATTACTTTTAGATCTTAGGTGGTAGTTTATGGTAATGCTATGAATTTTGGTTGTACGATATAAATTGCGAAACAGTATATTATAATGCTTTCTTAATTTTTCACAAATATTTGACATTTTGAACTAATATTATATTAATTGCTAGCCTTCGCTCGTGTGCGTCGCTAGGTACGAGACTTTATACACAATTTTACGGGTTTTATTTTTTTACCATGGAATCTTAATTCTTTTTCTAAAATAGAAATAGTCTAAGTTCCTCCTTATAACATCAGCTACCTTCCAGTGAAAGTCCCGTCGAAATCGGTCCAGCCGTTTCGAAGATTAGCCCGGACAGACAGACATTTTTTTCTTATAAGTACCGTATATATTTTTATATGTATTTAGTAAAAAGCGGTTATTTTAACATTAAAAGCGTACACTCCTATTTTATATTTTATATTATTTGTATAGATAAATGAAGAGGTAAAGTTTGTAAGCTTGTATGTAGGGATAATCTCTGAAACCACTGATCCGAGTCAGATAAATCTTTCACAGCTACATTATCGCCAAAGCCTTAAGCTTTTCATTCCGATAAAAATGTGTTTAGGGGAGTCGCGGTCAAAAAGTAATAAGCAATAAAGTTACATTTCCATCTATCAATCAAATATTCGTTATCTAACTGGACGTTTCTGTTGTATTTAGACAATCTAAACTGATACTACTAGCGCACCACCTTACATGTTATGGTCAAGGTAAATTAATAATAATCTTCACGGCCGTGTGTATAATATATCAAAGTTTTACCATTCTCCATCCAGGAATGGATGTTATAGGAACACTTTTATTACAGACAATCAAACATTCAATTTTAGGGTTCCGTACATCAAAAAGAAAAAGGAACCCTTATAAGATCACTTCGTTCTTCGTTCGTATCTGTCTGTCTGTCTAGACCCTTTTTCTCAGAAACGCGTGGAGATATCAACGTGAAATTAATATAAAATCAGGTCTGCTATCCCTTGAAGTTGTAAAAAAAATCAAACTTCTCCAAAAGAAAAATCCGAAAACCATTATATTTATTTGGCGATTATAATAGTTTATAGTAGTTTCGTAGTAGTCTACGAAACCCCTCCATGTACGAGTCAGACTCGCACTTGTTTATACATAATTTGAATACTTCAGAAGCATACTCACTGCAGTCCGCCTCGTCCGTCCCGTCGACGCAGTCCACGTGCATGTCGCAGCGGTAGTGCGGCGGGATGCAATAAGTCTTGTTCCACACATACTGTCCGCAAGTTAGTTGACCTGCCTCACATTCTGGGGGGGCTGGAAGCAAAAAGGTTGTATTAAAAAACACTTAAAATTGCTTTAGAAGCATTTACTTTACCAAAAAAAGGTTTTTCTTAATAAGTAAATAGTTTCTCCTCTAAAGTCGGTTAATTACGATAAACTAACTTTAACTACTTAACTTTTAGCTAACTAAAAGCAATAACCATACAATAGAAGCAAATAAATTAGGTAAGACATTAACGAGTTCTCAGAGTCTCTGAGACCGTCCACAGTTCATCGCTGCACTTCACGATACACGAACTACTAGGAAATAAATATATTCAAAACACACAGAAGGGATCAATCGTATACCGCCATTAGTTCAAAGGTTGCTTGCAACTAGTGATGTGCAAGATAAAGAGCCTGCATAATTCACTCTGTTGTCTCTTGCGAAGACAGAATCTTAAATATATATATATATATATATATATATATATATATATTATGGCTGTATGTTACGTTTTAACGTTAAGAATAGATTTCTCAGAGATGATATATTTTCCCACAGTAAAACGTATCCTATATGTTGACCCTGGTAACCAGCTATAATGATAGCAAATTTCATCGAAATCTGTCCAGTGGTTTTTTCGTGATAGGATCACAGACAGACAGACAGACAGACAAACAAAAATTCTTAAAAACATAGATTCGGCCTATGTATTGATAATAATGAATAATGAATATTTCAGTAAGATTTTCCAAAAAATATTTAATATACAGATTTGGCTAAGGTAGAATTTTATTATATGTAAAGTTTGACATTTTTTTAAATTATTATTAATAAATTTCTAGAATTGAATTTTTCTTCCTTTTACGAATTTGTTAACAGACTCAAATATTATTTATTATTATTTTTACTAATTACAACTAGTCAGTGCCTTCGGCTGCACTGAAAAACTTACTTTTTTACTTTTATACTTTTAAAGTTATACTTCTTTTGGCACGTTTGGAAAAAATTATGAGAGTTAAATTTTTTTGCGCGCACACCGACAGCCAAAAAGCGCATGATGAAGTTAGCTGCATTCCTTTTACAAAAAGAGAGTCTAAATCTTTAGCTATTTTTGTTCCATTACGCCAAAAAAGTATAACTTCTTACATGCGTACCTACATAAGTACACACACATTTTTTTTCTTATTAGGTACCTATCTTGTACTAGTTTTCTAAACTTTCGATTATGATTGTTTTAGAAATGCTGAATGTATTTCCATGTATAAATAATTTTGTGTCTCTATGTTCTAATCCTTTTCATCCAATTTATGCCCAATCTCATTAAAATTAATAACGCTGTTTAGCCGTAACTAAGCCGCCCTCTCTCATGTACAATATTAAGATTATTGATTAATTATTACATACTTTCTTATATTTACCGAATATTTGACACTTTAAATAAAACTATCTTTTCGGATTTTTTCGCGGATTTATATAGATTTTTAATTCCCTACGTTTCGAATGCTTTATAGCAATCATGATCACAGGAGAGACTAAAGTTTTAGACATCTCAAAGGTTATTATAAATAAATAAATATGTTGGGACATTAACACACAGCACCATCTAGTTCCATGGTAAGCTACGGGGCCTGTGTTATGGATACTAGATAGTTGATAAACTACACATATATAACTTTAAATACATACATATTATAAATAGAAACACCCATGACTAGAGTATAAACATTCGTGCTCATCACACAAATGAATGCCCCCAGCGGGATTCGAACCCGCGACCGCTGACACAGTAAGTAGGGTCGCTACAAACTGAGCCAAACGTGTCGTCTTTATTGTATTATATACTTATTACAGACAATGCCTACTCACAATTTTACAAAATGATTTCAAAAATTCAAAAATGGCACCAAAGTACCAAAAGACGTAGTACGAAACGTCGTAAAGCAAAAATCGAAATAAATCCGTGAAAAAATCCGAAAAGATAGTTTTATTTAAAATATTGATTAATTAAATTGAAAATAATAAAGCCATTAACAAGAAAACTGGATTGAATAATTTGAGTTTTTTAGCGAATCGCTTTGTGAAAACTTGCAACAATACTACCTAAAACAACGACCTGTAATCAGTCGTCATCAATCAAGCAACCCTCGAAGAGTATGTGCGGTCCTTATCAGTTGAGCCTCAATTGAATTTACGCGTTCAAACGATTCAAACGTAATTTATTGTTTAATCGCGAACTCTGAATCGCGATGAGACGAAGCTATTTAGTATTCTACGTAATGCTTGAATTAAAAATTAGGTCAGGTTTGGAAAAGCTCGAGTCGTGCTTATGATTGATAGGAAAAAGTATTTTTTGTCTTTCTAATCTTATTTATTGTCAAACGAATTGTAATTTTGTATCTGTAAACGATAAATGATAAATCATTTAAGACAGATTGCTATGTTTCAAATCGATTTTAATTTTTAAATATACTCCCAATTGGAAACTGTCATTCCCCTTTTAGGTCTTCTCATGACTGATTGAAAAAAACGTATTGTTGCTGCTCGTCTTCGGTACTTCATGCTTCATTAGTTTTGTTTAAAAAAATGAATATCAAACTTTGGAGGTTTCGTATAGAGTTACATAATATAACTCTCCTTAGTAGAACTACTACAACAAGTTCTAACAAAGGTCATCTAAAGAACCATTATAATTTATAAGCAATAAAGATACATACAAGCTAGGCAAATATAATAGCAATTCTGCTTGTTATCCTCTCTTACTAACTGGGCATATCATCTCCTAAATGCGAGAGCATACATTTCTAAAGGCCTATACACGTTTTTCGAAATCTTATTGGGTTCTCTAAGATATTCAAGTTTCCGCAATAATTTCCTTTATCATACACCCTCATTAGTGTAATTCTATTTGTCTTACAAATAAAAAAAAACAGATTTCTCGTATAAAAAGCTTTAACTTTTATAATAGCATTACAGGATCCCGGTCCTTTCAAGTGAGCGCAGTTGCATTACTGTCACGTGACATAAGCTAAGCCTATTTTTCCGGCACTCGCGGCCATTTTGGCTCAGCGCGGGAAAAATTACATGTCATCCCGACAATAGCGGATAAAGCTGCACATTCACGATGCGATTTGCGATTGTCCACAATTTTGAGTTATACATTTATATATAATTTTCACAATATAGTGTTAAAATATAAAATAAATAAATATACCGTTGATCGTCATTCATTATAGTGATTGATTTTCTCCTAGTAATATTAGAGTACATAATATTAAGTTCATTTAGGTTTACAAAATATAAATTTATGTAAGCTCTGCAACATAATATATAGGATATATACCTACTATATAGGTAGGTAATCTTTCTGCCCTCAGTTATAAACTTTTCGTCTATAACAATCGACAAATAAGTAAAACTACGCAATAAAATAACTCATTAAAAGGAATTTACCAATACATATTGCAGTTTCATGTGTACTACATTCGTGATTGATTTGTCGCGAGCCATCGCCGTTGCGTAAGTGGCCGTACATCGATGCACTGTACATCCAACCACTGAGACCCTTAAAATCTAGATAATTAAGTTCAAAATACCACAACATTCCGTTGAAAGGTGTACATCCCAGTGGACATGTAATTCAGTTTTATTGTTCCCAAATTACCGGCGTGATGTATCGGAGGGCAGCGAATGGAACTGTGATATTTTGATTCAATTCATCTCATTGTTTTTTTTAATTATAAACTTATTAATAAAATATTTCATGCCTTTATGAATTATTCTAGTATATTGTTTTTTCATATTATTAAAATTAAAAAAAAATACTAGAAATATAGTACATTTGGCATAAATTACATAAAAAAAGTTATAGAAAATATTTATTTTTCATATGTCCCACTTTACGTTGTAAATAGACTCACATTTAAAATAATATTTTACTTAAAATAAATTGGTTATTACTTATTTGTTTTTATACAAAATGTTTCGTCCTGACAACACAAGATGGTTGATTTGTTCGTCATTCGAGTGTATATGTAAATATGCTGTGAGATAGACTACAAATATACATTATACATAGGTATGAGTTTTATATCCCTTACTTGAGAAATGATTGATTCCACATACAAAATTTCTTCCCCCTTTTCACATAATAATAATAAATAATTTCATAATTTCCGGGATAAAAACTATCCTATGTCCTTCCCAGGATCTCAAACTATATTCATACTAAATTTCATCTCAATTGGTACAGCAGATTTTTAGTTTATCTACCTATTACACACAAAAAAAACATTTTATTTCTCTTTATAATATTGGTATAGATATGTGTTATAAAAAAATATATCATTCCGCTATGAAAACCGGTAATCGAACCCGCGATATAAGTATTAATTCAATGTGTCCATATCCTTTGATTTAATTAGGTCGTTCTCGCTTCATGATCAATAGCGTATCTATTGAGTTACAGAATATTATTACTATGGCAATGTTTCTATTCATAGTTAGTATTGCTATTTGATGTTAGTAAATTCGGATTTAATTACTTAATATATTATATTACAAAGGTTTTTTGATTATCAATATTCCGACAAATTAATAATTTATACGACTTGCACGCCATCTATCGCAAGTTGAGAAAGACTAGGTAACTAGATAAAGGTAGTGAACTCATCAAAATTTTATCCACTTTAGATGTACATACAGTAATAATTTACAGACAAACGTACATTTCAGGGTACAAATATTCAGGATTTATATTATACTACTTACGCTCGTTCCGCTCTCAAGATGAGATATTTTCCCGTAGTAAAAAGTATCCTATATGTTGACCCGGATAACCAGCTATCTTCAAACAAAATTTCATCAAAATCTGTCCAGTGGTTTTCTCGTAATGCGGTCACAGACATACAGATAGACAGACAGACAAAAATTCTGAAAACTACAGATTCGGCCTCTGCATCGGTAATAATGACTATTTCAATAAGATTTCAAAAAAAAAATTTAATGTACAGATTCGACTCAGAATTTTATTATATGTATTTATTATTATACATGTGAATATTTGTTATTTTTTCATGATGCAAATAAGTAATATGATAATATTCAATGAATAACCCACTAACTTTAGCCCGACCCGGGTCTCGAATCTCCGAAGCTGTAGTCATACATGCTAGCCACTGCCACTTGACCACTGAGGCAAATATTTATACGTAAAATATATGCATAATAGTAGTTCTATAATTTATTATACAGCATGGTGAATAATAAAAGCGCATTGAAACCTATAAAGTGATGCAAATGGCGAGCAAACTATAAAATGTAAATGTAAGCTGAAGGGTCATTAACATAAGAAAAGATTCACTTAAACTTCTGCTGCTTATTGTGGAACAAATTACATTACAGTGTCTTAGTAGGGTTAAAGTGGGACGATGGAAGTTAGTTATTTATAGCAGTTTAGTTTCGTATGTTCTAATTTTATAACATTTTTGAAACGGGCATTCTATACATATAATAAAATTCTAACCATGCCGAATCTGTACATTAAATATTTTGTGGAAAATCTTATTGAAATAGTCATTATTATTGATATAGAGGCCGAATCTATAGGTTTTAGATTTTTTGTCTGTCTGTCTGTTTGTCTACCTGTCTGTCCGTCTGTCTTGAAACGCATCACGCGAAAACCACTAGACAGATTTCGATGAAAAGTATGATTATAGCTGGTTATCCGGGTCAACATATAACATACCTTTTTACTGTGGGAAAAATTTCTCATCTCTGAGAAATCTACACTAAAAGTTAAAACGTAAGGGTGAGTCGCTAGTATAATATATTAAAGGCCTTTAGATGTTTCCAACAGATCACGTGACCGATATGCTATCTAGAACAGTACAATAGTAGGAATACTAATAGTGACCAGTGGCGGTGAGTGAAATTTTAGCATAAGTAAGCTGTTCCAAAATTATACAATTTTTATATACGTATTAATGCAGAAAGAAATAAAGCTATTTTATATATATATATATATATATATATATATATATATATATATATATATATATATATTCCTAAAAGAACATTTATACATTTAAAAAATTAAATGTATGTAGAATGATAGCAAAATAATTTTAAGGTAAGACGTCTTGTATGGACGCTTCGATACTGATAGGGACATAGTTTTAAAGGTTTTTTTAAAGAAAAGCTAGGTACGTTAGGATATTATGGAAAAGGCCAAAGGCTTTTACAAAAATATACAAACTACCCGTACAATATTATACTGGATATGTAAATGATTGGAAAGGTTCGTTGGTAAAAATCACGATTTATGTAGTTTGAGATTACATTAATTTCGAAAGAGCATTGAAATGTACATAAATATCTTGATATACAAAACTCCAGTGTCTCGATATTATATGTAGACAGATTAAATTATTTAAAGCGATTCAGGTATATACATTTTAATCATAGTATTTTACTGCAAAAAAGAAAATATTACAACTCTTTTATGAATCTATTTTAATAAAAATTGTCTATAAACTAATTGTAGTTTTTCTCCCCTAATATAAAATCGTGATATAGCGTAACTTGCATAGTTTGAAGGTGCTTTAAAAGTTCCCATTCACGCAGCGACCCGACTTCGCGTCAGTGTTTAAGGCGATTGAAGTTCTTGAACTTTGATTTCAGTGGAATATAAAAGTGGTCATAGCTTTAGACCAAATCAATAACTTAAGTTTAATACTGAAATTAATTTCAGTTATACATCTACCTTTACATATTAAATCTCAGGTAATTTTATGTAATACTTTTATTTAAGAATATTTTAAAAATTGAATTATATGACCCATAAAGGATAGTGTATAAGGATGTATCGATTTGATTTCTGTAACGAGCAATTATGGTTATAGTGGAGGAGCAATATGGCTATATTGGTTCTAAATAAATTTTCCTTCCATTTTAAAAAAAATTGACAACAATAAGGAAAACAATATATTTTTAACTAGTTTTTGCCCGCAGCTTTGATCGCGTGGTGAGTAGAGCGGGCATCAAACGGTAGCCTATCTCTGTTCCCAAGATGCAATTTATGTCCTTGCCATAGAAATATGTTCAGCGGCTTAATCGTGAAACAGAGTCACTTTGACATTATAATATTAATATTGAATTTTCTACTTAATATTAGTATTTAATTTTCTACTACAGAAGTTCTTGTAATAAGTCTAATTGAATAAAGTTTATTTTATTTTATTTATCATAATAGATACTTACGACACGCTTGAAACTCGTCTTCACCCTTCTCACAGTCGCGCTGGTAGTTGCACACCCACAGGGCCGGGATGCACTTGCCCTCGGGGCAGCGGAACATGCCGGTCGGACATAGTGTGTCGCCTGGAACGAAACATTATTATTAATATTTATTAAAAGAAAATTACAAAATTATCTTATACTCGCGAGGCATTGGTAAGTCAGTGGTTATGCTCTCGTTTGGGAAACCAAGTGAAGCAGGTTCAAATCCCGGGTCCCGCCCTTCTCATGTGCCAATCATTTCCAACATGATTACCACTTGTCTTATGGTGGTGGACTATGACCTGATCTCCTTCGTACTGAAGGGACAGCCTTGCCCAGCAGTGGGACGTTAAAAAGGCTGAATACATGTACTTGTAATTAAAATAAAAAAAGATTAAAAAAAATAAGTTTTGCCACTAGACCATTTGTTATTATTTTTTGTTATACCTCAAAGTTTATTATTCTTAAATGCAACAACCGTAAATAATTTTAAAAATACGTTTTTTGTAAAAAATATAAATTTTGTAAATTTATAATGATATGTTAATCGTATGTACTACGTATAGAGGTGGTGTGCGTATAAAATCATCCTTATAGACACACAGTTAAATGTTGGCAAACTAAAGCAAACTTCAAGTTAAAAGCAAAATACGGAAATCGTAGAGGTTTAAATTACAAATTGTTTATTGTTTTAGAGTAACGAAGAGAGTTAATTAATTATTGTTACATTTAATTGACTTTTATGAGTTAATTAAATTTGTGTTAATGTTAATTTTTTTTCACGCGTTCAGATGACCAAAAATGAAATTCTTAGGTTTTACATATTAGTATACTCTTACAATGCAGTTTTTGTATTTTTTCTTAGAAATGAGATATTTTCCCGCGGTAAAAAGTATTCTATATGTTGACCCGGCTAACCAGCTATCATCATATCAAATTTCACCAAAATCTGTCCAGTGGTTTTCTCGTGATGCGGTAACAGACAGACAGACAGAAAGACAGACAGACAAAAATTCTAAAAACTGTAGATTCTCTGTATCGATGTAATGTTTATTTCAATAAGATTTTCCAAAAAATATTTTATGTACAGATCCGGCTTAGTTACAATTTTACTATATGTATAGATAAACAAAGTAGATAACAATCGTTACCTGTTGTAAACAACAAAACTCAAGAATGTAGAGATATTTTTTATTTTATTTTTTTTTATTTAACACAAGAAATGATTGAAATGACATTTATCAAAGTGCCAAAGTACATCACAATATGTTTTTTTAAAGTATGATATTATTTTACCGAGCAATCTCTTCCCGTCTTCTCTATACTACATGACACTGGCAATGTAACCTGTGCTCAACTGGCACTGGCTTTGCAGCCAGTAACAAGAAAATTGAATTAAATGCGAATGTAAGAACAGCTCATCAGATTTGAGTGAATTCAAAAATGACCACAGCTTGTATCAATAGCAGATTACCCAACAGGACGAGCCATGTGGAAAAAATTGTGAAGTATAATTTACAAGATCGATCTAAACTATATCAGTAAGTACAAGATGTTATGTCTGTGTATATTTCTGGGTTTGAATGCAAATACAAAGGCGTACATTGCAACTAACATGCACTTGGTTAATACCATGTAACAGACTGCAAAGGAAATGCACTAAATGATGTAATATAGGAGTTGGTGGTCTATAACAGAATGGAATCGTAGGCCACCTAAAGTCAATCCTATGAAAGATGTAGTACTTGTATTAGAATAAGTATTTCCATGGTCACGGGAGAGACCTCCCGTGACCATGGATGCTGTAAAGCATTCGAAACGTCGGGAACCAAAAATCAAAATAAATCCGCGAAATAATCCGAAAAAATAGTTTTATTTAAAATGTCAAATATTCGCGTAAATCTAAGAAAGTATTATAAAATAAGTATGATCAGACTATATTGTTATAAATGAAAGTTTGTATGTATATGCGTGTAATAGGTAAATGAATTCCTTTTAATGGAGCGGTCTTATATACATTAAATAACCGTCCCGGACGGTGGTGTGACTTTGACGTTAAGTGATTATCAAGTCGACAGTTTTTTTTAATAAAATCGATATTCTTAAAGTCTGCTCCGATTTTAAAATTGCCTCAAAAATAATTTCTACAATTTATTCACCGTTTGGAATGAAACGTTGATAAGATATATGTACGAATACCTATATGGGACTAACTAAGGGCTTACCATAGATACTAGTGTTCGCCTTGTGTTGAATTTCGGCAATATTTTTTTATTGATAACACAAAAGCTTGTCGATAATTATTACTAAAAAAATTTTTATAATTGAAACCTTGTCGCGAACAACAAACAGACAAGAAAAAGATACTTAACTGTTTTGTCTTCGCCTATTTATATATAGATATCCTGTCTTTGAAGTTAAAAATTTGAAGCAAGAAAGACCTAAAAGGTGGGCACTAATACTAAATGAATCCAAGAAACATTAAAGCGTCAGCAGCAGAAAACTAAATTGTATGAAGACGCTGGCGAAAGAGAAATTAACGAAAACGTCTTTCGCATTTAATATTTCAACTGTTGTAATTGTGTGGACTATTTGTAGCATTTATATTTTTTGCAAGCTTTTATTTAACTTGCAATGTTTGTATGTTTGTTCGACTTAAATCTTGCAACTTATGTTTAAAGCAGTTACCCTCATTGAGCTGTTTGGCGTACTCGTGTAGTTTGGATGACAATGCATGGTTAACCAAGTGACGTCATTCTAAATTCAATATGGCGGACTCCTAAAGATGGCGGACTATTTTTTTTTTAGTACCCCTATAATATTTAAACTAACGATCAGCATCTGAAGATCTTGCATAAAGTGAACTGTGTTTTATTGTGAACAGTCGGTTTTTATTTTATTTTTTAAGTTTTTATACATATGTATATGTATGTATGTATATGTAGTATGTATGTATATGTAGTATAAAAATTTGTAAGTTTGAAATATAATAAAAAAAAATTGAATTGGGGAAAGTTTAACTAAAAGTGTAACGAGTTCAATGTCTGAATGAGGCTTATTGAGCGATGTTCGGAACGTTTTTATGTTCTGAAATGATACCTCTGCACTGGTTCAAACAAAAATAGAAATATAATAATAAAAGAATAATTGCAGTTTTTAAAAATCATATCATCAGATAAGTTCGATGGTTAGAAATTATTAAACTATCAACAATATCGACCTCCAAGATTTAGTTACATATTATTATTTTGGTTCAGTGATTATTAACAAAAATTATAAGTTATGTAAGTGAAATAGTTTGTTCGTAGTAAAGTTGTTTCATTTCAGCGCTATCGTGCCATCATTTTCATCGCAAAAGCCCATCTCTGCTCTCACACCTCGTAAAGGCATCGTAATTAAAATGTAAAAGCTGCGAACATTTTTAATTTTAATAGTATAGATAAATTCTTGTGGATAAATTGTTTTGCTTTGTTCGTTCACACTTTATAAAAATGTTAGTGTTTTAACTTTATATTTTGCATGATGTAGGTGAAAAATCCCACGGGGTTTCAAGATTACGTAGAGATGGACCAAGATACGGTGAACTTTTAGCGAGCTTAAAAATATGCCAACTTTAGGTAATTTTCTATCGTTTCGAAATATAACATTAAAACGTATTCGTGAAGTAAATCCTATATTTCACGGTCTGAATGAAAGGTCGGAGATGTGCTTGCGATGTAAGATGCTTAGTTTGAATATGATTTTAATAAATATTCCGAATAAGATAGAGGCGAATACGAAGTAATTTAGAGCCAAGTAGAGGATTTCATAACTTGTTGCTGACGAGATGTCTGTATGTTACTGTACATGGAGGAGATTAGTATAGGTACCTTTAAAATTTATATCTAAACTACTATTATTAGTACACAAGTGTGTAAGTTTGTTTGGCCCTGTGTTCTTGGGCACATGATTTATTTAAGGGTTATTACGTTGAAATAAGACGTGCAGAGAGTATATTTCAGACTATAATCTATCTCTGTGCCAAATTTCACCCAGATCCGCTCAACCGTTCCAGCGTGAAAGAGTAACAAACATCCAAACATTGAAACATCTAAACTTTCGCATTTATAATAGAAGTAAGATTATTTTCTTAAAATTGATATGAGATCCTTGAGGATATAAAAAAAATTATAAATATCGATTCACAATAATTATTGGCAAAAATTTCGCAAATCGTACAGAAAAAATACATCTGAATCTCCCTCGTATGAAATTGTATAAAAAAACAAAATGTATCACGCCAACGTTACAAGAATTGTTTGCAAAAATTTGAATGTCAATAGCAACGATGCAGGAAGGAATAAGTCGAAGATATTTAACTCTACCAAGTGGTGGATTTACCAGCTGGCTGAGTGGGCTTAAGCCTTGGGCGGCGAATTTAGGGCAGAATTTTTTTAAGCGTCTTGCAGAAATCAGAAAGACTGCTGTAACAATTCAAAATATGATTAAGCTTTAAATAGTTCAAAAATATACCCAAAAACTATTTCTTGTGGACATGTTAAAAAATTGTTGGATTGTAAAAATAATCATCTGACAGTTAAAGAGGTGAAGGCGGCAAACATTTAACAGTTGTTATAACATTTAACAGTTTTTATAGTTGAAAAATGTGTAAATCCGCCATTGTTTACTTTTTATTAAACTAATGATTTTATTAAACTAGTGATGAATAAAAAATAGATGTAAGAGATGCTTGAGATAACGAAAGCGATAGTAGAGCTTTCTAATATTTTTACATAGTTCTCTTATTCGCTTTGCAATGAAACAGTGTATTATCATTGAAGATACTTAAACTTTTGTCTTTATGAAACAAATACTTACTCAATACTAATATATACCAGATGAAGGAATTCTGTGATCATACTCAATGACCCATCCCAAAAAAATTCCCATACCCAAAAAAGTCTATAGGTACTTATGTATAATACCAAAACAATCAATCTGGCAAACTTCATACCACTCAATCGTCTAGAGGAATAAAAATGAGAGTGTCATATATCAATTTTAAAGCTTCTTATGTTAAGAATGTTTACCAAAATGTTAAAATATCTTAAAAAGAGTTGTATTATTTAAAACATTGTAGAAATAAACGAATGAAGTTTCTTGTACGAGGTCCATCTAAAACAAAACATACAGTGGAAAGATTTTAGAGAACTATCGAATCCGCTGAGGTTATATTCGTGCATTTGCACTAAATAAAGAGGTCCAGACGTAGTGGCAATGTACTAAAAATAATTCAATTCGTTCTTTCTTAAAATTTCCATATTGATTGTTTATTTATCGAAAAGTAACACACGATATATGCAAAATGTGGTTACTGGCATGAAGTAAC